AACACAAGCCAGAAATAATTCAACTATTATAAAGTCAATTAACGCACAACATTACTAAGAATTTAAATATCAAACCCAAATTTAAAGTCGGAGATCGAGTTCGTATTTTCAAATATAAAAGCAAATTCGAAAAAGCTACGTCGGATTTTGAATCAATGAAATATTCATCGTAGATAAAGTAAACAGCACATCACCTCCAACATATGAATTAATCGATCAAGACAAAGAACAAATCATAGGTAGGTTTTATCAAAACGAACTTCAAAAAAACTGAATATCTTTCTCGATAAATACGGAACCGATACAACTACAAACTTTCAACTTATGAAATGGGCAAATGAGTTAAATATATCTCCGTTTTATTATTGTATGAGAGATGAAATAAATAATCTGAAATATAAGAAAGGTAAATTTTATGCGATAACAAGTATATATACTTCCCATCAAAAAGGAGTTCACCATTCTGCTTTGTACAAAGACTCTTCAAATGACTTATATTTTTTTGATTCTTTTGGATTAGAACCCACTGAAGAGATAGTGAAATTAACTAATAAACCAATCAAATGTTCAACATTTCAATTTCAATTACCGGGACAAAAGTTTTGTGGACAGCTTTCACTTTGGGTTTTATATCAGTTGAGTTTAGGAAAGCAATTTGAAGAAATTATAATAAATTTAACTTAATAAAAATGGCGAATAAATTTGGATTAGGTTCTTTACCTTTAGATACTAAAAAACCTAACACAACAGCATGGATAAATAAAGCAAAACCTTATTTTGTGGATCAAATTGGAGACAAACTTCAAGGTGATTTAGATATGAATAATTTTACCATAACTAATTTAAAGTTACCAGGAAATGATTATGATGCTGTTCACAAGAAATATTTAATGGATCAATTAAATTTAATTGAAGTAAATAAAGAACATTTAAAAGAAAGAATAGGCGATGTGAAAAGATACTTCAAACGACAAATAAATAATAAAGATTTTATTGATGATACTAAGTTACAACAAGAAGTAACAAGTTTGAAAAGTTTTATTGAAGAACAATTACTTAATGTAGTAGATAAAACTCAATTACAACCTTTAAGTTCATTAATTTCTAATTTAGATGATAAGATTACAAAACCAAAAATAGATCTTAAACAACTAATAGCCAATATTAATCCAGGTATAAGTGAAGATAAATTAACAACATTAGAAACTAATGATATTAGTGAAATACAAAAACAAATAGTTGGTATTAAACAACAATTACTTAATGTAGTAGATAAAACTCGATTAGAAAATTTAAAATTATTAATATCTAAATTAGACGATAAGATAATAAAACAACAAATAGAACTTAAACAACTAATAGATAATATTAAACCAGGTATAAGTGAAGAAAAATTAACTGAATTAGAAACTAAACTCAATGATAATAGTGAAATAGATGTTATTAAACAACAACTTCTAAATGTAGCAGATAAAACTCAATTACAAAATTTAAAATCATTAATATCTAAATTAGATGATAAGGTAACAAAAAAAAATAGACCTTAACTAACTAATAGATAATATTAATCCAGGTATAAGTGAAGACAAATGGCAACAGGAATCAACTGCTCTAGAAACTAAATTTAAAACTGAATTGAAAAAAGAACTAACAAATATTAAACAACAGATAGAAAATATTGATTATAGTGAGCAGATAACTACTATTAATAATGAAGTTTTAAAACAGGAAAAATATATCCACATCAGAAAACAAACTAAAGGAAAATTAAAAAATCATATTATTTCAATCTTCCGGTTTTCAGTGTGAGAAATACTGAACGTATTCCTACAGGTGAAACAACATATCACTTGGAAGGATATGGATTTATATTAAAAATAAAAGTATTTACATATATAAGTGGAAACGTTAAAAACATATTTGTTGATTCAGGAAACGTTTAAAACATATTTGATGATTCAGGAAACTTTAATTTCCGAGGTAAATCTCTAATTGAAATTCTTTTTCCTGTAAAAGTTAAAATCGATTCAATCTTCTTCTCTCATCCATCTAATTATTTTAACGCTCGTAAGATTTTCGAATTTATCAAAGATGGTGAATATGTTGAAAATAAAGATTTGGAAGTTAATGATGAAAACAGCACGCCTAATCTTATGTATGAAATTAAAACAAATGGAAAATATATAGACACCTTTAGAATGTTAATAATACCAGACAATGATAGAAATACTCTTTCAATAGGTGATTTTGATATGATATTAAAGACGGAAAGCTCACCATCGATGAACATTATTAGAAATCCAACTCCGCAAGAAGTAGAAACAACAAAGATTTTTAGACGTTTTTAAGAACATTAGACTTTGAATATGTAAAGCTATTTTTTTGTTAATACTAGTTTTTTATACTCACCAAGTTCTAATACTAATTTATTTACCTCAATTGATATTCACAAAAGTCAACAAGAAAAAGAATTTATAATATTTTCATCAATAATTGAACGTTATCATAATAAAGAAGTTGGTGGTATATATACTTGTAGTTGTAGAATAGTGATTAATATTGAAAAAAAAATTTGCAGTTTCATCTAAATAAGATTAATGATTCGAAAGAAGAAATATCATTAGTATCTGTATATGCTGCTGTTCATTCACCCGAAGTATTTATAACAGACAAAACAAAAATAATACAAGGTTTAGAGATTAGAGGGGACTCTATTGAAAATCTTAAACAATATCCATCTTTTAAGTTATCAGAATTCACTTAATTTAATGTCTTAAAAATGGAACTCGAAAGTAGACAACAATATATGATAGACAAACAAAACGAGTTAAAAGTAAAACTAGAACAGTATAATAAATGTAAGAAAAGATGGATTAGAATTAATTCTGTTTTTAAAACACTGAGTGTAGTTCTAACAGTAGGAACAACAATTGCAACGGCTGTAACTGGTGGATTAATGGTTCCAATACTTATTCCAACTTTATTAGCAACAGCTACTGCTATTCAAACTTCATCTTGTGGGTTGATTGCTATAGGTTATACATCAATACAGCAATCTTATTATAAAAAGAAAACAGAAATTTTAAATTCATATCTTAATAAATTATTTATATTTTTCGAAAGAAGAAGAGAAGATGAGAACATAACCATTGAAAAATTAGAAATGGAATTCTAGAAAAAATTTGAGATGGAAATATCAGCAATAAAAGTTAAAAAAAAATACTGAAAAATAGATCATTAAAAAAGCATATATAAAAAATATGATTGTATCTATTGAAATTAATGATGATGAAACATTCATAGAAAACGTGTTATTTTCAAATATTATCAAGAATGTTTCTGATAAATTTTTAACATTTAATGGGCAAGTTGAAATAGATGGAGAGATATTTCAAGATGGAAAGCACAAACAATTTATGAAACTTTTTGGTTTTAGTGCCAAAACTTTTCATACTATCTTTAGAAATATGGAAGAAAAATCTGACCCTTCTGATTGGTACTTTACAGGAAGTATCTTTTTACTTAAAAACAATTTTAAAGAAATTAAAAGATCAAAAGTTGGAAGAGGAACTGAACTACTCAAAAAAATAAATGAATATATAGGTGACAATTGTTACATACCAACAGGTGGTAACTGTTTTATCAAATGTGTAAATTATGTCCTAAACAAAGATTTAACAAATGAATTTCAAAATTTCATAAATAGTTCCTCAAAAGCAAATAGAAAAGGAGTGATGACATCTGCTAGAATTAATGAATTCAATAAGAAATGTGATATTACATTTCAAATTTATACTCATAATAATAGAAATTTGCGCCCCACAATTGTACAAGAGGAATTAGATTGGGTTTTATATTTACACAACTCACATTTCTGTCTTATAAGAAAAAATACAAAAAGTTTGGGTATTAAACAAGTTTGGAAAACGAGACGATAACGCAGTAACACAGGTTTCACCTCTGAAACTAAACGTGTTTTCAAGTATAAGTGATGCTGGGTTATTTGCTTTGGATTGTGAAACGTATTCAGAAAGTGAAACGCGTAAAGCAATTCCTTATGCGTGTACGTTAATTAATTTAGAAAAACTAAGAACAAGGTTAGACAGAATAAATAATCTCTTTCCAGATTTAAATCCTACAGATAATGTTCCAGAAAATTTTTATGATAAACTAATGGTTATAGTAGAAATATTTGTTGATACAGATTGTATAGATCAAATGTTGAAATATTTAGGTCAATATGATAGAAAGAGATTAATATTAATTTCTCATAACGGTAGCAATTTTGATAACTGGATCGTGCTTAAAAATATAAAAAAACTAACACAATGCCCTTTAAAAACACCCAGAGGAATTCTATCTTTACCTTTATCTAATCCATACACAGATGGAGGTTTACAGAAAAAATGTAAAAAACAGAAATAATAACAAGTAATAATAATTCTTTACAACATATTAATTTCACATGTTCCTATCAACATGAAACATCTAGTTTGGCGGCATGGGGTAATTCATCTAATCTACCAATGAATTTGAGAAAGATCACTGATATCGATATTGCATAATACACCAAAGATAACTGGGAATCTTTAAGACACGAATGGGAACCTTACGCTAAAAGAGATACGTTATGTCTTGGAAGTTGTTTGATAAAATATAACCAAGACGAAAGAAGTTGTAAACCAAAATATGTCCAATAATCTAACGGCTCCATCTTTATCTCTTAAGGGTTGGTATTATTTGTATCATTACGATAAAGAAATGGTTGAAGAAGAATGGTATGAAACTACTAGAATGGTTGCGAAACATACTGAAAAAGAAAATATAGAAAAAGTTTATTCGCACACTAATCCTTTTATAAGACGATCTATTAAAGGAGGAAGAGTTTCGGCAAATAGAAAAATATTTGAAACGAACCAAATGGATGAAATTTGTAATGTATTAAAGGAATTTATTTAACAAAGTGAAACACCAAGTGAGACTGAAAGTATTTCACAAAGTGAAACTGAAAGTATTTCACAAAGTGATAATTCACAAAGTGAAACACGAAGTGATAATTTAAGAAGAGATAACACAATTAATCCATTCAAAGAATACAGTGCGAGCACAAAAGACAAAACAGAAGTTAATTTAAATCTTAAAGAAATAAAATGTACTAAACTAATGGCATTTGATGCTAATGGTTTGTACGCTTCAGCAATGTCAGATTTAGACAGTGAATATCCAAAAGCAGAAAGTGGAAGACCTTTTCTACCAGAAGAAGAAAATTTTTAAAACTCTTCAATGAACAGAAATTTAGACCTAGAACAGCTATCTTAACAGTGTGGTTTAAATATCCCAAAAACATGTTCTTCCAACCAATACCAGCTAAAGATAATATCACTTTCACAAATAAAGAAGGAAAAAGGGAAACTGGGAGTAAAATCAGGTTTAGAAATGGTTTCTGTTCAGATGTTTTAACATCGGTCGATATTCAAGAAATAGTTAAAGCCGGTGGAGAAATTATTAGAATATTAGATGGTATAGTATACGAAGAAAATTTTAAAACTCCACCATATGGAGATTATATTTTAATTTTAAGAGATCTTAGAAATAAATATGAACGAGAAGGTAATATTGTGGGTAGTAATTGCATGAAATTATTAGGTAATTCATTGTATGGTAAATCTATTCAGAAGGATAGAAACACGAGAAATCATTTGTGGAATGAAGTAACTTTTCAGGCTAACTTCGACTCACATGTTAAAAACTATGAAAAAATAGTCAATATTTCGTTGAGACAGAAATTGAAGAAAAAGAGATAACTGCTGAAGATCACTCAACTATATCTACAGGACTAACACCTAGTCATTTGGGATCATTCGTTTTATCTCACAGTAAAAAAATAATGAATAATTTCATTCATGTAATAAATGGATTTTATAAACCTGAAATATACTATAACGGCACTGATAGTTTATACATTTCATCTAGAAATTGGGATGAATTAAATCGAGCTGGGTTGGTATATAAAAAATGAATATTGTAAAGGCAAGAATGATTATGGTGATGGTGGAATCATATTTGGTTTATATTTAGCGCCAAAAGTCAAATATAATATCATTCTAACCTCTGATGGTGTTTTAAAAGAAAAGAAAACGTTTAAGGGTTATTCTAATAATAAGACAAGTGTAGAAGATTATATTCAGTTGGCTTGTGGACATGATGTGTCGAATGAATTTAATAAAAGATGGGAAAGGAGTTTCACGAATGGAGTAGTTATTCCAAAGGATGATGATAAACAAAAGAAAGTTTTTAGACGTTATTTGAATCTTGTAAAGAGAAAACCACCAAACAGTGAAGGAATTATGTTTCCTTATAATGATAAAGAAGAGTATAGGTTTGATGAAAACTATGAATTTTATGATTTCGATTACCTATATATTCAAGAAGAGAATGAAGTGATTAATTACTCAATAAATTTAGTTCTTTTGTTTTAAATGAAGTTGAATAACAATTTCTTCGTTAGCAAAATCAATAAACCAATTTTTACCATCTTTGATTTCCAGATTTATATTTCTAATCATGAACGAATTAAGTGGTAAATATGTTGTTTGAAATTATTTCTCTATAATTCTATATCCAATCGGTACAGTGAATGTTGGAATACTGTAAATAATCTGACGTTTGTGTTTATTGAAAAATCCACCGTTTATTAAATTACAATGTATATTTATCACATCAATATCATTCTCGATATTAGCTTTATGCGGCGCTAAAGTGGATTGTGTGTATATTTGCTTATCAAATCCTAATAAAGTATTCAAAGAATTTTCTACGTTGAAATCAACTTGACTCTTATTTCTCAATATCAATTTTATTTTGTTCAGATTCAAATTACCTTCGAATTCAAGATTGTTTTTACCATTTGCACTTCCCCCATATTCAGATAGATATTCGTTTATGGCTACGTATTCATAGCTTCCTGGTAGTAAACTTATGGTTTTGAATGTAGCTCCGTTGTCTTTTGATATTTTCCTTTGGTTATTATTTTCGTTGATATTTCTAATGGAATTGTAAACAGAGAAATATTTTAATCCCAATTTATATTCTTCATTGCGATCGAGTTCGTACTCATAATCTAGAGACAATTTAATGTCTGATTTATTTGAGGTGATAACGAATAGTTGCTTTTTATTTGGCATTTTTTTAATGACTATTTTTATTGGATAATTTTATCAATTACATTTTTATAATCATTTTTATCTATAATACCTTTCTCTAGGAATCTTTTCAATATGCAATTTACTTCATTATATTGTCTGTCTGAACGATGACCTTCTTTCATTGCTGCTAATATTATTTCTAATCTTTTAAGTAGTTCCTCGTTGTTGTCGGATAAAAACGTTATACCTTGTCCACTGTTTTCTGTAGCTATCTCCTCTTCCAATTCGTCTATTTGTTGTGTGATTGGATTGTCTATATCTTGTATTATTGAATTTTCTTCAGCATATTCAACATCTTGATTAATATCACTTCGTGTTTCACTTTGTGAAATAGCTTTTATATATAGATCAACTTCTTTTAATCATCTTATCATATGTAGAAATTCTGAGTATTCTACTAAATCCTTATAATCGGCAATATCAACATCTCCCCCATTAATTAAATCTATTAATCCTTCTGTTAATGTAAATATAAAGTGTTTTGTATCGATTTTGAATATTGGTGAATTTCCACTAAATCTTATTCTAAATCCATTAAACAATAACCTCTCTTCATCAACGATTGGTGAAATGCTCTTTGGTAAATCTGGCTTTGGATTTGAAAAATAACGTTTTATATCATCTAAGGTCCTAATTATAATAACATCATATTCAATCGGTTCTGGGTGATGAGGTTCTATATGAAGTGTGGGTTCTTTAGGAGACTCGAGTCTCTTTTTAATATCTTCTTGACTTTTTAATATTGGTTGAAATAGAGTTTGTAGATTTTCTGTTAATCCACGTTGTTGTAATTTCAATGTTTTCAACTTGGGTCTTTATTTTATTCTTAGCTTTGAAATATTGTCTATTTCTTTTTATAATATTATTCCAATCGCTACTCATTTTTAAAAAAATAAAATTAACATATGTCTGTCATAACTCTTTCACCTGCAGGTTTTCTAGTATTAACGAATATATATCCATGATCATCTGGGTTTCTCAATTGTGCTTTACAATCCTTTTTAAATGTATCTCTATCCATTCCGTGATTAATTGACTGAATAATTCGTTCAATTCGAATAATAAAAAACAATTTGCATTTTTTCTAATGAACATTGCATCCATTCCGTAGAAAGATTGGGATTGGTAAATACAGTGACAGTTGTGATGTCTTCCCTTCGTGAAGAATTATTGTTGAACAGCTTGATTTCTTTGTGCTACACAGTCGTCAAACACTATTAAGTTCTTTCGCTCACTGTCAATTTTAGACAAATCTATATCATGAACATTTTTCGTAAGAAAAACTTTTATATCCGTTGGATTGAAAGATGGATTCTTTTCTTTTATATATATCTAAGATATCTTTTATTTCTATCTCATCGTTGTCTTCATAATATTTAAATATGTCCTTAACGTCTTTCTTTGGTATATATTCTAAAGCTTTGAGGAATTGATAATACGATTGCTCTGGTGTTGGTGTGTAGATATATAATGGATCGAAATCTAAAAGTTTTGGTGTTGTCAACATGTTAAAGGTCAAATTAGTTTTCCCAGAACCGGAACTACCGCATATACAAATAAGCATTGGGTTACTAGGAAATATTTCTGAATGATTAAATTTCTGTCCCATTTTTATTCTATATTTTTGTTCCAAAAATCACTCCTTCTCCTTTATACTTTGAAAGAAAGATTCCCTCTCCAGAACGTTTGTTTTTAAAAAATATAGCATTACCCTTATATTTGACCTTCGTTTCTCCTGTGTCAATTTTATCTATTAGATTACTTAATCCCTCTTTAACAGTTTTCTTGGTTTCTTCACGAAATCGATTTCCAAATTCTTTAACTGTCCCTACTATATCTGCTACTCCTGAACCTTGTGCTATCTTTTCCATTTCCATATTATGTCTACGTTATTCACTTTTTTCAGCATCAGCTGCTTTTTTGGCGTTGGCTGCTTTGACTGCGGCAGATATCCCACCAGTTGCTGCACCAGCCGCGGACAGACCAGCAAATATCAAAGGTAGGAAAGGTAAAAATCCACCTTCCCTTGCACTCTTGTCATCTCTTTCCAAATCTATATCATCACGGACTTCACAATGTTTATATTTATCAATGATTTTTTTTAGATATTTTAATCCTTTTACCATATAATGTTATTGTAGTTGGTGATTCCGTATCGATAGCTTCTATTATTCTTTTTACTAAAGTTTCTGGTTTCATTTTTAAGAGGGTAATTTAAATGATTATTCTATACGAATCATCCGTCTGTCGGATATTTTAATTTAATGTTTTGCTTCTTCCAATAATAAACAATACCCGGTTACACCTTGTGTTTTTTCAATATGAATATTTATGTTTACTCCTGTTTTGAAAAGATCTTCTTGATGAGCTGATAGATCAAAACAGAAGATTGGATGATTAAGTGCAAAATCTACATATTCAAACTGAGGTGAATTTCCAAATAATTCACACATATTTTTATAGTTTCTATACAATTCATTATAATCCTTCGTGGATGGATTAATTGTTAAAGGTTGGTTGGGATAATTATCGTTGTTTAATCTTACTTGAACTTTACGGATTATAGGATCTTGAATTTGGTGCATTGCTACTCTAAAGATATTATTGTTATTCGTTCTTGAAACCAACCATTAAATATCTTGCTGGTTTAATAGTGTCAATATCTTTAGTTAATGAGTTGAATATTCTCGTTTCTACTTCAATTGATGGTGTTTTTACGGGTATGTAAAGTTGGAGATTCGTTATTTCTAATTTTGCATCTGAAGCATTCTCTCCAAAGAATATCTTATCATCATTGATTTCTCTTTGTAGATGAATTTTATATGGTAACCCTATGGAAACCTTTCTGTGTTCCAACAGACCGAATAAAGGATATAATTTCCAATTTACGTAATTACCCCACCTATTATTCTCAACAACATTATTGTACTGAACTACTCGTTTCTCGAATCCATGATTAGCTGCTCGTGCTACTCTTTCTATTGTGTTTCGAGCAACAACTCTCACTCTAGCTAAATCAGCATCATTTGCAAGATTTCCTACCGGTTATTTTAAAACACTTCCATCACCGACATCGACCGAATCGTAATTTTTGGTATATAGAACTGTTTTCAACATTGTGTCAAATTCCCCAGGGTGTTTGATGGTTTCTATGGGATTTGAACCAACTTCCAAAACCATTTCAGTAAATAAAGATGGAAAGAAATTGTTTTCTAACGTTGTATTGGTTTGTGGTACACGATTCTGATTGCCGTCTTTGATTTTGAAATCGCATCTGAAATAAGCATCGGAAAGAAGCAACCAATTCGATAATGAATTAATCTCGAAAGTGACCCTACCCCATCATTTAGTTGAGACCTAGAGCCAATGGTTGGTGATATGATAATGTAATCCTCTTTTTTCTTATTAAACGAATAACGAATTGGATCATATAATTGAAAGATCGGATCTAATCTGTAATTTTTTTCTGCCATTTTTAAAAATAGGTTTTAGCCTATTATTTGAAACCAATTTACCCCCATGGAAATGCAGGAAGAATAACAAAAAAACCAAAGTAAGTTTTAATAAATACAAGGAAATTTAAAACAAACAATTACATTGATATACACTTCTACTAGATATACTTCAGAGTTTTCACCCCTCTTACACTATTACCAGTCATAGTTCAAGGGTCAAGTGTCACGACCGCTCCTAGTAGAATCGGTAGATATTCTTCAGAGTTATCTCCCCTCTTACACTATTACCAGTCATAGTTCAAGGGTCAAGTGTCACGACCGCTCCTAGTAGAATCGGTAGATATAAGTCACATATTTTATGCTTTTCCAAAACGCTTGTTCTTCAGCACTTGTTCTATTTTCGAAATCTGTATCAACAATTTTGAATCCTCGGAGTTTGGTAGTATCCCCCACTGCCTGCGATGATTTAAATATTCTTCGTGATATGAAATGTTGACATCTATTAAACTTGTATCTGGAATATAACAAAATTGATATTTTGAATAACATATCATCTTAATTCCACCCTCTCGTCTTATGATTAAATCAAACAAAGAACATACCTTGATTTTGTATGATTAAATTCCTAATCTTCCAGCGTAACAAAATTGAGACAGTGTTAATAATTGAGAGTTTAGTCTGTCTATGCTGACGTGGCATGGGCGGAATGTTATATGTTGATATAACCATCTGTTACTTAGTGACGTATATCCAATCAATAATAGTCTATACGACTGATTGTTAGCGGGCGTTGAAGGTAATTATTTAATCAATAATAAATCAATAAAACTAACCGTGTATAAACTGGTTGGTATTTTACTTTGAAGTAAACAAACAACAGTGTTACCTCCCATTAATCAGTTAAGTTTCTAAATTCTTTATGTATTTCATCTGCTATTCCCATACCCATTTTCATCTTTGCTTTCAAGAGTTTAATGATTAATGCTCTTTGAATTCTCTCTTTAAAAGTTGGATTTGGAATATTTTCAAGTTCAATTACCATTTGTTTGTCTGCTTCGTGTCTGGATGTTATGTCTTAATTTCTGTAGACGTGTTTAAGTGCAACGGCGTCAACTCTATTACCTGGTTCTTCACCTTGTTTGGGTTTATCGTATTGGTCTAATCGCAGATCTAACCTTGTACCTGGACCAGTGTAATTGTGACCCGGAAGATGTTTTTCTCCGGAGTATTTTGCCCATGGAAATCCGGGAAGAGAACCTAATGATTTTTGAATGTCGGAACCGAAATAAGTTTTAGGAGTTTGAGCAATTATCATTGACATTTTTATCCAATAATCTTAAAACCATTTCCTTTTTTTTTGTTTTCTAATCTTTTATTTCGCATTTCTCTTATATGTTGTAATTCTTTCAACTCGTTAGATCTTTTCACTGTTTCGCTTTTATTTACTCCTGCTTTTGCTACAGATCCAAGAGCTTGCGTTTCTGATGAAATGAGGGATTTGTTGTTTGAGACTATTTGTTGGCTACTTTTGGGATGAGAGATGATAGAGCTGAGAAGAATCCGTCTCCTTCGAATTTGTGTTGTTCGTGTTTTAAAATTAAACTCATTCTGTTTTTGAATGAGTTAATTTAAAGATATTATTGGGCTGGGGCGCTTGGGGGTTGGTAAACTTGTACCCCTATAGACTCCGGATTTATTAACTGTGTGCCTGTTGGGGTTTTATGTTTGGTGGGCTTGCGGGGGCTGCGGGCAAAAGAGTAGTAATAGAACATATAGATAGGGGGCACTTTGGTATAATTTATAAAAAAAATCGCTAAATTATACCAAAGTGCCCCCTATCTATATGTTCTATTACTACTAATATTATAGTGAAGTTAGATTGGGGAAAACGTGGAACTCCAGGAAATATGCTCAACCGCGTTCATATATGATTAGGACAAAATACGGATTATTCCGAAGAAATCGTAGACATTTATTTCTTGCTAATAAAGTTCGATTTGCTGCTAATGCGTTCGATGAAGATTTTGATCCAATTGACATAGATATTCGTGTTAACAATCATCAGGATGTGAATCCACCAGATCGTGTAGAACAACCTGTCTTGCGTCGCTCAAGTCGTACAATTGTTAAACCTGAGCGATATCGTGATTAAATAGCAGTACATCGAAATTTATGTTGTGTATTAAAAGTTATTAAGTAAATAACAGAATAATTGTGTTAATTGAAAAGATTATTATTAGTGTATGCATTTCAGATCAAACTAGTGATACATAGTTTTAAAATAGTTTTAATAATTTTAAATTAGAAGGAGGGAGATGTTGAGAATATGAACACTAGTTTGATAAAGACCTTAGCTATAAATAGAATATTGATATAGGCTATAGATTGCATGCATGGTCAGTATTAGTATTATAAAGTTTGCAGTCATCCTTGCTAGTCATGTAACATGTGCTTCATGTCTTATATAAATCTTATTAATGCAATAGCTGTTTTCATTCCATCCTGATGAGCGAATGCCAGTCGGCCTCTGGTGATTCGACAGTTACTACTATATAAAGTCAAGTAACCTAATTTCGCGTATTTCCGGAAATGTTAAATAATTTACATGTGCGATTTCGCGTGACCTCTGCATTTGCATGTTTTGATAAACATGGGTTATTTCTACAATGTCAACCTGCTGTCAAATTTAATATCTTTTTCTAACGCATACAGAAAGGCGGAATTCAGTTATTACAAAAAAGGCCTATCACAATTTTTGATTGGTCAAATTTCCTTATAATCCAAGCTGTTATCGGTATTCCTAGTGTCGCCTGCTAGAATATATTCCTGTGAACAAAATCACGAGACAAACTACCGGATTCCATGTCAGCAGAAAACATCATGCGGGCCATATTCATAAACTAAGATTCCATATACGCGTCATGCGGATCCGTCATGCGTCATTCGATAAAAATCGAAATGGTTGGTTTAAGAGGGTATGATTCCATATATGCGGAAACGGTATCCGTCAAATGGTCTCCGTCATGAGTCAAAAAAAAAAAAAAAAAAATCGCCTGGTATAGCGATTTTTGACACATCCGGACGCCTTTCCGCGCGGAGATCTCCCAAATGTGACGTATTTTGTGGGGATTCCCTGTCTTTTTTTATGCATCAAAGCATCCATCTGTCTAGAAAGTCCGCGCGTCAAAAGAAAACTAACGCATACGTTTAAAGGCAAGCACAAACGAGAGCTCCCAGCTGAGCAAAATTTCATTCGTGTCTCCCAGCTAAGCTCGCAGCTTTCGTCGGTTTCCCCCGCACGCGCTAAGCTTAGAGCTTTCGTAAAAGGGGTGTCGAGTCTACAAATAACTAGATCACGTGACATTCTCACGTGACTTAAAAAAATGTCGGACGTCGACAACCCTTCAGAATATGAAGAAATTCTACTTTTCCTTTGTTGTTGCGTCGTCGCCGAATAATTGGGGGATCCGTACGTTGTACAGGCACGGATATTCCAGCCATATGTCCACCAACTTGTCTTCGATAATTGCTTCAGATACAAGCTAAGAGCTGTCGAGTGCGCACACGGTAAGGTATTGTTCATTCGAGGAAAAAATTATCAAACACAGCAGATAATTTCCTTAACGCTTCGAATGAAAAAAACCTTACGTAAACTCCGCGCACACGAGAGCTACGAGCTGAGCTGAGAGGCACGAATGAAATTTTGCTCAGCTGGGAGCTCTCGTGTGCGCTAGCCTTAACGCACATGTGAAATCATATTTGACGCATGACGGCTCCGCAAGGGCCATTTATGTCCGCATGACGCGTATAGTATATACGCGTCATGCGGATAACTAAGATACCATATACGCGTCATGCGGATCCGTCATGCGTCATCCGCCATGCGTTAAAAATCGAAATGGTTGGTTTAAGAGGGTATGATTCCATAAATGCGGAAGCAGTATCCGTCAAATGGTCTCCGTCATTCGTCAAAAAAAAAATCGCCGGGTGTAGCGATTTTTGACGCATTCGGACGCCTTTCCGCGCGGAGATCTCCCAAATGTGACGTATTTTTTGATAAATTTATACACGTGCGTCAAAAGAAAGATAACGCATACGTTTAACGCACATATGGAATCATATTTGACGCATGACGGATCCGCAAGGGCCATTTATGTCCGCATGACGCGTAGGCCCTATATGGAATCTTATCTTTGTGTTGTTTCAATGAATTTTAGCAATAAATTACTCTTACGTTTTATTTTGTTTGTTACATCATTGTTCATTGAACGAATTGTTATAAGTTATAATGAATTGATATTAAAGATAAATACTAAGAAAATATATATATACTATGGAAGCCGGCTGTGGCCATATTACCCTCGCCTTTTTCCTCGCCTTTTTTTACCCTCGCTTTCTCGCCTTTTTCCTCGTTCTCTCGCCTTTTTCATCGCCCTTTTTCATTCCTTTATCAGTGCACATTTTTTTTTCAAATTGTTAATTTAGTTGAATTAATGAAAAATTAAAAAAAAAACATACGAAATTAATTTTGAAAGAATGTTAATCAGAAGTAACGCATATTCCTTCAAAATAGTTTTGCTATTGTTCCATGTATACGGTATTTTGCATTTTGTATTTAAAATCTGTACTCATGTCGGTCGGTCCGTTCACATTATTGGTAATCGAATGAGAATCTAGCATTGAGTCGATTTTTTTTTATTAAAGAATAAAAATTGTATATATATGTGTACGAAATGGGATTGGCAACAAACAAATGCGTCTCCTTTTCTATTTTGTAATGTAACTATGGTCCCTGGATTCGATTTATCAATGAAATAAGTATTCATTTATAATGAAATGATGAATATCCCTATCAACTGACGTCTTACGCCATGTTAAACAAGATCTGGAATTTAGTTTTCAACCAATTATAAATCTTAGGGAGTATAGGTTGTAATTTGGTACTAATGACATATTTACGAAAGCACGGGCACAGGTCTTATATCTTAGTGTGTAATTTGAAAGGAAAGAGTATTTATAGTGTTATCGAATATCTTCACTATTCTTCTATTAAAATGATATGAAATTCACTCAACTTTGGCTTTCCGCTTTTTTGTAGGTAAAACAATTTTTTTTTGCTCAAATTTGTGACAAAAAGATATACAAAAATCTAGAAAAATGTGTCCCTGAATAATGATATAATATGAAAGTTTTAACTTAATCCAGCCGTAAAACGCCAAAACTATTCTATAAGCTTATGACGTACACTGTAAATATTATATCGGTGTTTTTACTTGAAAATCCTGGCAGAAAGTTGCCACGACTGCATGTAAAATAACATGAATAAAGTATTTTTACAAGACACTGGTAATTGAAATTAACATGCAATTTGTTAAATCACAGCATAATGTTTTTTGTATGTAAATTTCCATTACTGAGATATCTGGTTTTTCAACAAGTTATTGTGTGACATCAGATCACACGATTAGACAGTATTTTTACTTGAAAATCCTGGCAGAAAGTTGCCACGACTGCATGTATAATAACATGACTAAAGTATTTTTACAAGACACTTGTAATGGAAATTAACATGCAATTTGTTTAATCATAGCATAATGTTAACTGACACTTTTTTGTATGTAAATTTCCATTATTGAGATATCTGGTTTTTCTACAAGTTATTGTGTGACATCAGATCACACGATTAGACAGTATTTTTACTTGAAAATCCTGGCAGAAAGTTGCCACGACTGCATGTATAATAACATGACTAAAGTATTTTTACAAGACACTTGTAATGGAAATTAATATGCAATTTGTTAAATCACAGCATAATGTTAACTAACACTTTTGTATGTAAATTTCCATTATTGAGATATCTGGTTTTTCTACAAGTTATTGTGTGACATCACATCACACGATTAGACAGTATTTTTACTTGAAAATCCTGGCAGAAAGTTGCCACGACTGCATGTATAATAACATGACTAAAGTATTTTTACAAGACACTGGTAATGGAAATTAACATGCAATTTGTTAAATCACAGCATAATGTTAACTAACACTTTTGTATGTAAATTTCCATTACTGGGATATCTGGTTTTTCTACAAGTTATAGTGTGACATCAGATCGCACGATTAGACAGTATTTTTACTTGAAAATCCTGGCAGAAAGTTGCCACGACTGCATGTATAATAACATGACTAAAGTATTTTTACAAGACACCTGTAATGGAAATTAACATACAATTTGTTAAATCACAGCATAATGTTAACTAACACTTTTGTATGTAAATTCCCATTACTGAGATATCTGGTTTTTCTACAAGTTATTGTGTGACATCAGATCACACGATTAGATAATATTTTTACAAGACACTGGTAATGGAAATTAACATGCAATAGCATTTTTGAATAGATGCTTTCAAGAGAGAGTTCACAATATATGTAGTCAATATTAACTTCATGAACAGGATAGTCTTCTTAAAATTAAACCAATCTTTCGTTTTGTACAAAAATACAGAACGCAAGTTTGATTTCATTTTAACAAAATTGAATCAAGATATAAAATCCTAAAAGTCTTGCCGGACGTGCCTTTTTTTATAATTGCAGATGAGTAAAACAATAATATTGAATACAAATCTTTTTATTCCATGGAAAACATATTTATACTATACACCAATAGCAAATTGTGATCTAATAATTACATCGACACAACACATACATAGCTTCAATTCCACATATCAATTGGAAAACTTTTCAAAGCAATTAAGTTTTTGTACAAATTTAAGGGACAGATATCTATTAACTCTCTGACATCTACAGTAATAATTTCCCCCTTTTGGAAATCTATATCATATAAGCCATTGTCAGATCTTGTTGCAATTATGTGTTTGCATACTAATTTAAGAATAGAATTGTCAAGTACAAGAATAAATTGAACTTGACCAAAACCTATACATCTAAGAGAGTTATCAATAATGACACAAATACCACTTTTGATGGTATGTCCATGCACTGCAACTGACTTTGCATAAGTTACAGTAGAAGTTCTTTCAACATTCATTTTAATCATTTCAAACATTTCTGACCCAAAAGACTTTTCTGTTAATACTTCAGAATATTCAACATTGAATTCTGCTGATTGAATTAAATTACCCACAGAATAATAAGATTGCAAAAGCTGATGTTTTTCAGATAAAGTTTTTGTTACACTTTGAAGTTCTTGGTACTCCGAATACAGCGTTTGAAATAGCTATGCTTGGATTCAAATCTAATAGTCCACACTCTTAGCATGGGCCCAAATTGGGTAATTAAGTAAGGGTAATGGTGTAAATAATGGTGCTTAGGTCTCAACTTTACTGAAGGAAATAAAGTCTGCCTCAACATAATATAATCATCAATATGCTGCTGAACAATACATATTTGGTTTGCGGACAATTTGCAAGCACACAAATATTCTGTAACAAGCCTCCTACAGTAATGCTGACCATTTGAAAAGTTTGTACAAAACCCCCCAATGAAATGGCTACCAAGATTATCACCCAAAACACATACTACATTAGCTTTAATAAATTTTCTATCAAATGTTATTCCAGTAGAAAGTTCCTTAATATCATTAATAAGCCTGGCTAAGACTACATTTCCATTGTCAAAATATAGAAAATTCTTTCCAGTACACAGTAGTATTAGTAGTTGTAGAGGATCAATCTTAGACCTATTGTAGGGATAAATATCAAGCAAGGAAAAATAAAAGTCAATTAATTTAAAGGTTTTTTTTAGCTGAACCAAGTGGGTTGACAATCTCAAATGCATCTTGATACAAAATCAATTTTAATGCATCTTTGTTCTCTGAAAAGTACCTATTTCTTTTAAAACTATCTCCATCTGTTATGTCAGTATAGACATCTTTGTCAGAAGGTTTATTTAACTGATTTAGAACACTTTCGTCTTCAAGCAAGGCTCTTAGTGTTTTCTTTAAAGGAACATAATGATAAATACATCTCCTATTATTTTCATTTAGTCCTAAATAAAGTTCAATGGGCTCTACGTACCTAAAATTTTCTTTATAAAATTTCTTTCTCTTGAAATTTGTATTAAAGTTGGCACGATCACTATTTATTTCGGTTTTAAAAATATCTGAGTTTCTAATTTACTTTAATTCTAGAATATTTTCAGAATTGTTGAATCTAAGCTCTTCGCTTATTTTTTTAAACATCATATCCATTGATAAAGTATGTAAATCACAAACATCTGACATGAACGAATTGATTGTACTTACTGGCACAAAGTGAACAGCTTCAAGCTTCATATAATATAGAGCCAGAGAATCGATAAAAATAGACGAGTTCTGATCTTCACTAACAAATTCACTAATATTTTCTTCAGTTTGGAATATTGATACACTAGATTCCATTTCAACTGAATTTGATATGCAACAAACAACTTTATTTTGTCTAAATAAATCTTTAAAATTATTTGTTGATTTATGTTTTCTTGATATATAAGAAGTGTAAGAAGAATGTTTTGTAAAAACACCTTCACAGTCCAACAAAGGACATTGCATCGATTGATGAGAACTAAAGTGCTTTTTACTATGTGAAATTAACTCTTTAAGACTATCTACTTTCATTCTACATGCATCAAAGCAGCAAACAAAACCATCGTTTAGTAACTGGTCTCTTAAATATTGAGCATTTTTGTGTGATGCATGTCCATGGTCCCTAGTAATATGACATTTTAAGGAAGAAAATCTAACAAATTCTCTAGGACAAAATTCTAAACAACAAGGAAATACAATATTTTTAACATTAGCATGCCATTTGTAGTGGCTTAAATATTCCTGAACACTATGTAGTATTTGTGAACAAAACTGGCATTTATAATTAGCCACTTTGTAATAAATGCTTCAAAATCAAGTTAAGGCACAGAAAAAAGCAAAAAAAATGGCGTTAGTGCTCAAACAAGTGGATAATAAAGAATTCAAATGGCGATTCAACGACAAAAGATATATATTTACTATTTTGTGTTTATTGGTATACAAATTCTCATACGAAAAGAGAGAAACGTTTAAATTTGGCGTTTATTTCATCATTCTGTGTGTGGATTATTTGATAATGGAGTTATGGCTGAAATAGGATTCATAAAAACTAAAATCAGAAGTGCACAGTACCAACAAGACCGGTTTGATTTTTATGGTTGTATTGGCACAAATGTTTCATTATATTAGACTTGAGGCGTACAAAACCAACCGAGTGAAAGACTTGAATTTTATTCGTTATGAAATAATTGATTTTGTTGATGTTAAAAATGTGCAGTATAAATCAATTAAAAAGATGAGTTCAATTCAGTTGGTAATCAATGAGTAGTTTTTTGGTGTTGTTCCCCTTAATCATAGTCCAATAATTATGCCATTTTGGATCACTTATTGATACTATGGGCACTTTGCCAGTACTAATAAGTTAAATATTGGAACTCGAAGAACAAAGGATTACGTCACAACTGTATTTTAAATGGCCTTATTTCATTCCATGTGAAGGAGGAATATCAATTCCAATAAATAGATTTATAACTGTGTACACACCTTTGAATAAATTCCAATGTCTGAGAAGCTTTTGGATGGTATTCCAAATTAAATATGTAATATTGTAACGTCGTTGATAGGCACCCCATTTGTGAATTTGGCACTCCTTTTAAGACGGAAGTCACGTGAGCAAGCTCAGTCTTTCACTTGCCGCCGTCCTGAATAAAGGTTGCTATTATCAACATTTGTATTTCTCTTCCTGCAGGTATTTTTAATGTGTCATTTTATTATTTTCATTGCATTATATAATTTCGAACATTGTCTAACGTTGTATATATATATCATTTTATTGTGTCGTTAAGATATTTTATGTTTTTGACAATTTAGTTATTTTTCACCGAAAATGTGGTCGAGTCAGCATAAATGCCACGCTTGCTCATCAATTTGTCAAAGTGCTTATTTTTGGACATCATTATCATTCATTGATTTATATTGTTTTAATGAGTAGGAAACTTCATAAGTATTTATTTGCTATCAGCACAGTCATAGAATTAAGATTATATGCATAGTTAAAATTTAAGCGGTAGTCGAAAAGTTGCAAATGTAGATGACGTCACTTTTGACCTTCAACCTCTACGTCACCGGAAGTTCAACTATCACATGACTTTGTTTACTTTAGAAATTCGTCTGCATAAATGTATAAGCCCATAAGTTGAGGCTTTTGCTTATGATTTGTTTTATTATTATTTTATTTTATTGTTCACTCTGTCATACCTCTTGACATAGACATTGTTGTAATTGTTGTTACTGTAAGATTGAGCAAGCTCAGTCTTTCACTTGCCGCCGTCCTGAATAAAGGTTGCTATTATCAACATTTGTATTTCTGATTTTCTCTTCCTGCAGGTTGCCTGAGCCAACAACCTGTGGTAAACACCGTTACAATTTGGGGGCTTGTCCGGGATAGGATAGAATACAGTTAGATAGATAGACCTAGATAGACTCCTTTCCCACAATCCAACAGTTACTGAAATCAGAGGTCATCTTTTCCTGTCAAATATGGAGACACTTTTAAGAATAATTGAAGTTCACAAGTTGAAATCACCACCAGAGGGCTGCAGCCTCTATGAAGTTATTGATATGGTGGATAGATATAGAAAACCAGAAATCAGAAGAGTTCGAATCAATAATGACTTCCTTAAGAGAGATATTAATCCCAGTTCAGCCTGTGAAAGAGGAAAGTATACCAGTAAATATTTCTAAACCCATAGACTTAACCTCAGATAAGATATCACGAGAAATTTATAGAAAAGAATTTAAAATTACTGGCACTATTGACTTTAAATCTGGCATTTCATTCACAAACTTAACTAGGCAGATTGACTTGGGCAAACGAAAACTTTTTAGCGATATAGAGATTATTGATGGGGTAATAAGGGCTATTCCTGTAAATGCTGGTTTGCGGAGTTATTTAGAGGGGTTGTCTGAATTGTCAATTGAATCACTTAGAGGAATTTTGAGGTCACATTATAGAGAAAGATCTGCTACAGAATTGTATACAGAATTAGGAAACATTGTCCAAATTAGCAAGGAGGACCCATCAGAGTTTTTGTTAAGGGCTTTAGATTTAAAAAATCGAATTAATGCATGTTCTTTGGAAAAGGATGAACTTAAATATGACCAGAGATTAGTAAATCAGTTGTTTGTACGGTCTGTTGAAACTGGGTTTATGGATCAATCTATTTCCGTCAAGAGTTCCGTCAGCATATTTTATCAGATGATTTCCAGGATGAGGTGTTAATTGAGAAGTTAAATGAGATAGTAATTCGTGACACAGAACGGAAAGGGAAAGTTGGAAAGAAAAGGTCAGAGATGGTAGCTACTGTAGAGATTAAGGAAGAAAGAAAGTCTAAAGATAAAGGTAATGCAGTACTGGTTAATGAAATAAAATCATTACAAGAACAATTTACTGAGTTGAAAGAACTGGTTAAACAACAATCTCAGACCCAACCAACATTTCAACCAATTACTCAAACCAGACCTAGACAGTATAAAAGAAGTTGTTTCCAATGTTATAAAGATGGCAGCCAAGATTGTAGACACTGTTGGCGATGTGGTTCAGTTTCTCATTTTCGTTTCAACTGTAGAGCGAATTTATCGGGAAACGATCAAGGGTCGCATCCAGGGGGCAGAATGTGATTCCTGAAAAGAAATGTCCCAACCCAACGAATAATTATAAGGATGGATTTTGTTCATTAAAGGGACAGGTATATTCCATGTCAGCTATGTCTAGAGAAAAACTTTGTAGAATAGTTGGTGAACAGTGTTTAATTCAGTGATTTAATTAAATTCATTAGATTCTGTAGTACTTTGGGATACTGGTTCCCAGGTCTCATTAGTAAATTCAGGGTGGTTGTCAAATAATTTTCCTGGAATAGAAATTAGGTCGATTGATACTTTGTTAAATGGTCAAAACTTGTATTCAGCTAGTGGGACAGTCATTCCATTTGAAGGATATGTTGTTTTGAAACTCGAGTTGGATGAACCCAAGAAGTTAAAGATTATGTTCATGATCTCATCGTCAAGAAATGGATACGAAAGTCAAATTCCCAATATTCCAGTCCAATTGTATGTGTACGAAAAAAAGTTCAAAGTCTACGTCTATGTATTGATTACAGAAAGATTAATTTGAAGACCATCACAAATCAACATCCCATACCAAGAGTTGAAGATGCCTTGAATAGTTTAGGTGGAAGTAAATTTTTCAGTTTGTTAGATCAGGGTCAAGCTTATCACCAAGGTTTTGTTGTTGAAGAATGCAGAAAGTATACATCCTTTGTAACTCCTTGGGGTCAGTATGAATGGTGCAGGATCCCTTTTGGTTTATCTGGCGCACCCGGTTGTTTCCAAAATTTTATGAACAGTTGTTTAGAAGGGTTAAGAGATGATATGTGTTTACCTTACTTGGATGATGTTTTGGTGTATAGTTGTTCTTTTGAAGATCATATCAAACATTTGAGATTAGTTTAACAAAGATTTGTAGAGAAGGGTGTTAAATTGAAACCAGCGAAATGTGAGATGTTTCGAGATAAAGTTAGATATTTAGGTCATTTGGTCACAGCAGATGGTTATACTATGGACCCTAAAGACAAAGAATCTGTTTTACAGTTAAAAACCAAAACTCCATCAACAGTTGGTGATGTTAGAAAAATATTAGGTTTCATTGGTTACTACCGAAGATATATTCAAGACTTTTCTAGGCGAGCTAAATTATTATATGAACTTCTTCAAATACCTACAGATCCAAAAGAAACTACAATTAGGAAGAAACCTAAGAAAAAGACCATCAAGGGTCAACCTTCTTCAAACCAAAGTATTAGTTGGACCAGAGATCATCAAGAAGTTTTAGACCAATTGATTGATTGTTTAATTGAACCTCCAGTAATGGTTTATCCAGATTTTCAACGACCATTTATACTTCATGTTGATGCTTCACAAGAAGGACTTGGTGCTATTTTATACCAGAAGCAAGATAATGATAGAATAGCTGTAGTGGTTTTTGCTTCAAGAACATTAAGTCCATCAGAGAAAAATTATAACATGCACTCGGGTAAATTAGAATTCTTAGTACTAAAATGGGCAGTGACAGAGAGATTTAGAGATTACCTGTATTATGCACCTAATTTTGACGTTTACACAGACAATAACCCTTTGTCTTACATTTTCACATCACCCAAGTTAGATGCCACCAGATTAAGATGGGTAGCAGAATTATCAGATTTTGATTTCAAAATTCATTACAAACCAGGTCGAGATAACCAAGATGCTGATGGTCTTAGTAGAATGCCTTTGGATATTGAACATTATATACAACATTGCAGTGAAGAGATTAGTCAGGAAGCCATGGTAACAACAGTTAAGTCAGTAATGTTAACAGAACCAATTCCATCCATAATACCTGAAGTGGAAACAGAGAATAAAGTCTACTCATTACAGACAGATTTCAATAAACAAGATTTGTTAAAAGATCAGAAAGAAGACCCTACTATTGCCATTGTTAGACATTTTGTTGTTAAAGGAGAATTACCTAATAAAGTAGACAGACTAGAGTTAAGTTTAAATGTTAAGTTATTATTGAGAGAATTTAAAAGATTAAAGATAGATGATAGTGGTATTTTAAGGAGAGTTGTTCAGTTGCCAAATCTAGGTGTGGTTAATCAGTTAGTTTTACCAGAAAAGTATATTGATACAGTTCTTTTAGAATTACACAATCAAATGGGTCATCAAAGTTCAGAAAGAGTATTAAATTTGATTAGAAGAAGATTTTATTGGTCTTTAATGGTTAAAACTGTAGAAGATTATATTCGTACTAAATGTAACTGTATTAAAGACAAGAAGCCACACATTCAGTATTGAAGACAAAATTCTATGTTCTGGGAATCATTGCTGTCTCCTAGAGTTGACTGCATGAGTGAATATTAGGTGGCCAACTAAAGTTCTCTCTCAATATAGATTCTAACTATTAATTAGTGTTGTGAACATTTATTTTAGAAAATTGTTTTGAATATTATGTGTTAGTTTATATATCATATCAATGTCTTGCATCATAGATATTTGTGATTAAGAATTATGAGTGGTACCTACATAATTTAAGATATGCATATGGATATATTTTTGTTAAATGTCGGGACGACATTTCAGTTAGGCGGGGAGAATGTAACGTCGTTGATAGGCACCCCATTTGTGAATTTGGCACTCCTTTTAAGACGGAAGTCACGTGAGCAAGCTCAGTCTTTCACTTGCCGCCGTCCTGAATAAAGGTTGCTATTATCAACATTTGTATTTCTCTTCCTGCAGGTATTTTTAATGTGTCATTTTATTATTTTCATTGCATTATATAATTTCGAACATTGTCTAACGTTGTATATATATCATTTTATTGTGTCGTTAAGATATTTTATGTTTTTGACAATTTAGTTATTTTTCACCGAAAATGTGGTCGAGTCAGCATAAATGCCACGCTTGCTCATCAATTTGTCAAAGTGCTTATTTTTGGACATCATTATCATTCATTGATTTATATTGTTTTAATGAGTAGGAAACTTCATAAGTATTTATTTGCTATCAGCACAGTCATAGAATTAAGATTATATGCATAGTTAAAATTTAAGCGGTAGTCGAAAAGTTGCAAATGTAGATGACATCACTTTTGACCTTCAACCTCTACGTCACCGGAAGTTCAACTATCACATGACTTTGTTTACTTTAGAAATTCGTCTGCATAAATGTATAAGCCCATAAGTTGAGGCTTTTGCTTATGATTTGTTTTATTATTATTTTATTTTATTGTTCACTCTGTCATACCTCTTGACATAGACATTGTTGTAATTGTTGTTACTGTAAGATTGAGCAAGCTCAGTCTTTCACTTGCCGCCGTCCTGAATAAAGGTTGCTATTATCAACATTTGTATTTCTCTTCCTGCAGGTTGCCTGAGCCAACAACCTGTGGTAAACCCCGTTACAATATACTCCGAAAAGTATCATCACAGCATCATCAATATTATGAACGGTTTTAACAAGCTTGTTCTCTTACACGACATGCAGCATCAAAGGACAGTAAAAATCACTTTAAATATCAAAACATACATGCTTTATCATAAAAATATTTGATGGGTTCCTAAAAGTTTTAAATACAGATACTAAAAGTCGATCACCAACTAGATAAGCCAAATACAGATCACAAAGGTGTTGTATATCAAATCAAATGTAGCTGCAACGAGAGTTACATACATACACCTCTAGATCTATTCTAGGGGCCCAGAAAATACTTGTTATTTCTCAGGCCTATTGATGGAATCAAATTTCTGAGGATAATTATTTCTCACATATTTTGGAATTAGTGGGAAGGATTGTTTTCTTTTTTTTTAAAGAATGGGCATGATTTTATCTGTTTACATAGTATCCCACAATTTGATTTGTCAACAGCAGTCTCATTTTTATACATCGATAAATCGAATAGTAAGCTAGTCAGACAAGGTGATATATGCTCACAAGCAGCTGTGTTTTCATTTTTATTTTCAAAAGGAATCATCCTTTAGTGAAAATCAATGTTATCACCAAAATTCATCCAAATCTGTAAGGAATTGCGCCTTCTAGAGTGTCAACAAGCTAAAATCGAATGTGTTTCAAAGAACAGGGGCAACAATTCACATTATATATGTTTCGCTTTGTCCAGTCTAATTTAAACTAGACCTAGACTTCTGTTCGTATTTTATTAGTTTCGTTTCAATTGGTACGTAACCACTACAGTAGGGTCCAACAATACCGTTCAATCGAAACTGTTCAGTTGACATTTGCTTGAACTCTGTTTAACCAATCACGTGGCTGCCCTGTCTAGTTAAGGGGTAATGTGGCACGAACAATAGGTACATTCAGAGGCGACAGTTTTAGACCTTACTGTAGTGGTTACGGGCAAAGCTAATAGAACATTCGAAACGAAACTAATAAAATTCATTTTCATAATTTCAATTAGACTGCGGGTTGTTGTATATTTTTAATAGGGTTCGTCCTTGGGTTGTGGTTAATGTTTTCACCAAGTTTCATTCAAATCTGCAAAGAATTGTTCCTTCTAGAATGTTTCAGAGCTAAAAATCAAACGAGTTTCCAAGAACAAGGGCAATAATTCATATTAAATATTTTTTGATTTCTTTGATTCTCAATAGGGTTTATAGTTCAGGTCTTTCCTTAAATGTATTTATACGCTAAATTAGTGTCTTAAATATTAATAAATAATATTTAACCATGTATTGGACTGGTTTTAATTTTTAGGAATACCTGAACATTTTTCAGTACGATGTATAAACAGAAAAAACCAGTGTACACTAATATTTATACCTCTACACAGATTTATACAGTGTAAACAGGTTTTTTTCTGTTTATACATCGAACTTAAAAATGTTTAGGTATTTAAAACAATTTAAGAAAGAACTAAAGCATACCAATAACTGCAATTATTGGAGCACCATTCAGTCTCGTAACAGACTCAACTGTTTTTACTTCTGTACATGGCTGGAAAAGAATAATCATGTTTATGTAACTCTATCACACAGTATATATACTTAAAGGGATTGGAAAGAGGTTTTCTAGCCTTTTTGTGTGTATCAGGGACACTTCTAACTTCTATTTGAGACATTTCAAATTTCCACCCGATGTCCGCGACTCCTGTTATTCCAGAAAAACGTAACCGGATATGTTCGAACACTATAACTCTAATATAATGGAGCTTCCTCAGGGAGGACTAAACAAAATTTCAATGTGGGCGTATACAGATAAATCTAATTTTTTGTTTCTAATCATTTCAACCTCGACGACCATTCAATAGACGATCTCGACCTAATCCCAATTGAGCGTATATAAATTGACTTTCCCGAAGATGAAACTACCAAATTCCGTCAATGTAGGGACTTTGAGAGATTGAGACATTGAATACAGCAAGACCTATAGGACTAAATATTCATCATAATGTAGGCATAGCACCCTTTGTTGTCCCGTTTAATACAATCAGCAATCGAGCAAGCAAGATAGTTCGTGCCCACTATAAGAGCCTTCAAGAGAAATTCCCCATCTCTATAAGCAGAAAATGATAGTTGCATATTCAAAAAATAAGAACTTAAATAATAATATTGTTCATAGTAAACTAAAAACAATCAGCACATAACAGATACTATACTTCATCGGGCGAGTTATTTTTTCTAATTTCAGATCAGAATAAGAACAGAAGAAAACCCAATACCAAGACCCTTAATCCTAATTTCTAAATAAAGTGTCTGCTCCGCCCTAGGCCTGTACATTTGGGAGAATCAAACCCTCCCTTCCCCGAAATCTAATATAATGGAGCTTCCTCAGGGAGGACTAAACAAAATTTCAATGTGGGCGTATACAAATAAATCTAATTTTTTGCAAGTCGTAAGACACCTCCACCAGCGAGAAAGACCAAATAAACTGTCAAAAAATACCTCATAAATCTCTAACAAACTATCTTCCTTAAAATAAGCCATTAATAACTTAATAAAAGCTATCAATTTCATGTGTGGATTAACTTCTTATACTCTTCTGTCCATTTCCTCAAGTTCCTTTTTCAACCGTCCTGAGTTTTCTTTTCGTAAACAATGGATTAATGAGAATTTTCTTTTCTCTGCATTAGTATAATTATTTAATGAATGTCCAGTTAGTGTTGACTCACAATTTCTTTCTCGAAAAGAAAGGGAAATTCCTTAATAACATCAGTTGTTGGATTCGAGTTAATCATTTTCCTCTGTAGAGGGTAAGTGTCTTGCATGTATTCTTTACTTGTGGACTCGCAAGTCATATTTTTGGAAGCAAAATACTCAGATTTCATCCAGTCTGTTTTCTTTGTCAGTTCATTTTCAAATTCTGCATCGAGTGCCATACTCCACGTAGAAAGGCATCCATAAGATTTAGGTGACTGGATGCTTTACCTTCACCATCACTTATTGGAGAGCCTTTTCTGTTCAAATTATTAAAGCGTTCTACGATATTTGATAAGATAAGAGCCAATTATTTTCCCCAATACATTGTCGCCTAGGGCATCCTTGAATTTGTCAACAAACTTTGATGCAATAATGTGCATATCTCTAGAGGTAAGTTTTTTCTTTTCTTCTCTAATGCTATCTACTACGATCCGAATCGCTTCACGTCTCAAATATTCAGTTGGCCTCTTTCCGGCCTGGCACTCGTCTAAAAAGAGTTTGGGAAATTAGGATTGGAAAGAGGTTTTCTAGCCTTTTTCTGTGTATCAGGGACACTTCTAACTTCTATTTGAGACATTCAAACTTTCTGCCCGATGCCCGACGTTGTTCCTGTTATTCCAGAAAACCTAAACAAGATATGCCGCAGGCTATGGGACCTCGAGTGACTAGGGTGATCACGTACAAGGCCTTATACCTTGTTATATCTTATATCATGTGGTATAAGCTTAACGTCATATAATTACTATAACTATGTATAACGCCTTGTGCGCGATCATCCTAGACACTCAACGTCTCACAGATGACATCCTATCCGGTAAAGTGTTTCTGGAATAACAGGAACCACGGGCATCAGGCGGAAAGTTTGAATGTCTCAAATAGGAGTTGTCCCGGATACACACAAAAAGTCTAGAAAACCTCTTTCCAATCACTTTAAGGATCACACCAAGTCAGTGTTCATACAAGTCATATGAGCAAATTTTCCCAGCACTTTTCAGAAAGCATTATATTCTCCAGACCAATTTTGTAAAAATTAATGTTTTTAATCAATTCAAGTTCAAGGTATAATGTGCAAGACTATTCCTGATCGTATAATCAACATAAAAACATATTGAATAAAATAACAGACCGATATGTGCCGAATCATTTTTTCCAGGTGATACTGACGATTCTCCAGGATTATTATGATTTTCTTTGGCATTCCATGTTTTCCATGACCTGTTCGAAACCTGCCAAGTTTGATCAAAATCAGATGAAAACTGTAGTCTCTATAGTGCTGACAAACAAGTTTACCAAAATTTGTTGAGTTTTAACAAAGTCAAGGTCAATATCTCAAAAAAGTTCATCAAAATTACATCAAATTCGAACTTGACCGAGATCTTATTAATCTAAAGCATCACACCAAGTTTGATCAAAATCAGATGAAAACTGTAGTCTCTATAGTGCTGACAAACAAGTTTACCAAAATTTGTTGAGTTTTAACAAAGTCAAGGTCAATATCTCAAAAAAGTTCATCAAAATTACATCAAATTCGAACTTGACCGAGATCTTATTAATCTAAAGAATCGCACCAAGTTGCATCAATATAGCATGCCAGGCCAAAAACTGTGGGTTTTATCTCGTTCATAAGCCAATTGTAGACAGACAGGACAGGGGCGGCGGCAATATACTTCCACATTTCAATATGTGTGCATAAAAGAGCGATGCAATCGTAATACACCCACATTTGCAATGGCAGCTAATTTGTTCGGGAGGTTGACAAGAGTAAATGAATGTTTCTGAGAGTGAAATTTTCATATTTCATGGGTTTTGTTTACAGCTTTTTTATTCAAGTGGGATTAATTTAACATGTCAAGTTTCATTTAATCCATATAGTATTGAATCTTTTGAGTGGCAGCAAGTGGCAAATCTTTGTGTTAAGACAGTTATATATTTACGGACTGACGGACGGACGGACGGACAGACAGGGGCGACGGCTATATAGAGTTTATCCTTGGGTGATTACAAACACTCACACCAAGTTTCGTCAAAATCCATCAAGAAACCAGCTCTCTATCATGTCGACAAACAATTCAAGAACAAGGGCAATAACTCATAGTAAATATTTCTCAATTCGTCGGATTTTCAATAGGGTTCATCCTTGGGTGATGACAAACACTCACACCAAGTTTCGTCAAAATCCATCAAAAAACCAGCTCTCTATCGTGTCCACAAACAATTGTGGACAGACAGACAGATGGACAGGCAGGGGCGACGACAATATACGCCCACATTAATGTCTATAAAAAGCATGCATGGATAATCAAAACAATCAATTGAATTGTTGGCTTTCAAAAATTAGGGAACCAACCACAACTAGCTTCTACACAACTTACCATTTCTGTCAATCTTTCTTCTTATGTCTAATACGAATTTACGATCATGGATTATTTTCATTATATCACTTATATCCTCGGCACTCAAATATTTTAAAGTTTCAACATTTTTTACACCAATTTCATCATATTTTGACATTAATAGACTCATTTGAGTTGCTGACAAGTTTGGATGGAATTCTTTCGTGAGTTGAATAACATCCTCCATTACTGAAAATGTGAAAAGAACATGTGTTTAAGGAATTGTAAAGCTATTTTCTTAAAGTTGTTTGTGTATCATACTTAAAGCATCACTCAAATTTTCAATTGGATATCAATGATTCCAGCAATTCCACTTAAACTGGGTGCTTGATGATGTCACACTCTGTGACATATGCTTGTATCAGAGAAAACTTTTGCAAACAATTAAATTGAATGTAATTACTGGAACCACAGACATTTGATTGAAAATTTAAATGGTGCTAATTGATGCAGTGTTCCCAATATACACAATTTAGAAAACCTCTCTACATCCACTTCCAAGACCATATAACATGAGGTACCGGAGAATTTGTTGTCTAAGAGAATATTTTGTATCATGTGATTGTGACTGTCACACGATGGTCGTAAAAAAGATATGACAAAAGTGAAATAACAGAAAATGCATCCAGGGCTGTTAATTTTCCTGTATTTGCTAGACATGACCGGTAAACAAGCTCAAATGTCAGTTATAATATTGAATCGGTGTAAGCGAGACTAGGCATTAAATAGAAAAAACATTTCTAGAAATAGAAAGAACTTTCTAATTTAAGCTATATTTGAAGTGATTATGCGAATTGGGCTGTGAAAGACCTGAAAAATAAACCCTCCAGTGGATGTGACCACATCCCATCCGGTGTTTTAAAAAACGAATCTGTTGTGAAACTAATTCACAAAATCTGTGACTCATGCTTTGAGCTTGGAACCGTTCCTGCTGAATGGACTAAAGGCCTCATACACCCGATATTCAAACCCGGAAGCGATGATAAACTTGTTCCGTCTAATTATAGAGGTATTCCCTTATTTCCGTGCCAAGTAAAATATACTGTCATATCTTGAATAGCAGAGTAAATAAATGGTTTGGTCAAAATAGCTCTCTGTCTGACTTTCAAATCGGTTTTCGAAAAAATCGGAGTTGTTCAGACCATATATTTTCGCTATATAACATTATAAATGATAGGAAAACCACTCGAAAGTCTACCTTTATATGCTATGTTGACTTCAAAAAATGTTTTGACTCTATAAAACGACCCCTTCTTTGGAGAAAATTAGGAAAAATAGGGTTGTGTGGTAAAATTTTAACTGCTATTAAATCTCTTTATCATAATACTGTGAGTGCTATTCAAGTAAACGATGATCAATCTGATTGGTTTCCAGTAAATGTTGGCGTAAAACACGGATGTCTATTATCTCCAACACTGTTTTCTATATTTATCAACGAGTAAATTGACAATTTGAAATGTGGCATTAATATCGAAGACAATCTGCAGATTTCGGTCCTGGCATATGCTGACGATGTAGCCTTACTAGCCCCAGGTGAAGCCAGCCTGGGCAAAATGTTAAGCGTACTCGATTCCTGGTGCCAAAAATGGAAATTGCCAATTAACCCCTGCAAATCTAAAATAGTACATTATAGAACCCCTTCAGTTCCCCTATCACTACATGAGTTTAGCTGTGGTGGTTTAAATATTAGTTATGTTGACTCTTACAGATATTTAGGTCTATGGATTGATGAGCATCTTAATATGAAGAAAGCAACTTCAGAACTTGCTAAGTCCGCTATTCGAGCTTTGGGCACATTATGCACAAAATATAAGTTATGCGGAGGAATGTCTTACAAACTTTTTACAAATTTATATAATAACCTTGTTGAGCCCGTTCTTTTTTATTGTGTAGGGATATGGGGTTATAAAGCTTTTTCATGCATTGATACCGTTCAAAACAAAGCAATGAAATTTTTTCTAGGTGTGAGCAAAGGTAACCCAAATATTGCATGTAGAGGAGACATGGGCTGGATTTCGTGTGTCGCCAAGCAAAAAACAGAATGTATTACACTACTTTGCAAGCTGTATCGAATCGACCACAAAAGACACATCTTTTCTCTACTTAGGTATATGTCGACTAAAAAAAATAAATTTTCATGGTATAATTCCGTTTTAAATATTGTAAATGTTTTAGGATTAAGAGAAACTGTTGTTAACCTATCGATGTCCATCAAAAAAATTGTAAATATAACGAAAGATAAATTAATTAAGATAGATTCAGATGAATGGATTAAAGGTTTGTACACAATACAGAAAGTTGACTCTTTTACTTTCAGATATTTCATCTAAAGAAATGATATACAATAGTAGTATTGTGACTTTGTGACCTAGGCCAGTGCTTTCACGACACTATGTTCTCATCACCATCTAACACCAAAATCAGTCTTTGTTGTGCCTACAAGAAATGTTGACGAAAGGATCGACGGACGGACATGGGCGCCGACAATATGCGTCCACATGAAAAGACGTATAAAACATAATAATAAATCTATCTTTTAAAAACCGGAGAAGGGGAATTACTTTAAAATCATATCATATTCTCATAGTTGTAACACATAATATATTAATAAAAATTTATTTAGACATAACAGAAGAAAGGTAACAAAAGTAGTAAAATGTATTCAAAATTAGAGCACTTAATATAAATGTCATTAACAAACAAATGTATGTAATATAATAAATTAAGAGGGAAGTATTTAGTATAAACTTGGCCTTTAACAGCTAATACAATGGCGGAGCCAAAGGGGGGAAAATCTCATAACTAGGTTAGAAATTCGGACAAATTCAGGATGCAAACCCTCGGACGTAAACATGGCTCCGCTACTGAACTAATAGAGTTCAGCTCTAGCTTCCCCCAGAATAAAAATCTTAATTAAATACTATAATATATATATTTTTTATAATGAATAGTAGACATAATAAACCTGAAATTTTAATATTAAAACTGTTCAAGTTGGCTTAACTTCTATTAACTTAGTTTATTTATTAAGTTAAAATATAGCTTGCCAGGCAAGGTAACATACGCCCACAGATAGCTTTGATTGTAAGTATTATGAAATTCGATATATTTACCATCTTCATAATGACATTGACACACAAAATCAAAAGAATCTAAGAATGTAAAGAATTGTAGCTTGTAGAGTGAGCACAAGTTGCACAATATAGCTAATAGAGTAAAATTTCAGACACCAGACACCATATTTCGGTGAAAAATTATCATCACGAAAGTCAATAGGGATCATCTTCATAATGACATTTACACACAAAATAAAAATCAAAAGAATCTGTAAAATTGTAGCCTGTAGAGTGAGCACGAGTTGCACAATATAGCTAATAGAGAAAAACGTCAAGTCAGACACGATATTTCGGTAAAAAATTATCCGATCATCACGAAAATCAATAGGGATCATCTTCATAATGACATTGACACACAAAATAAAAATCAAAAGAATCCATAAAGAACTGTAGCCTGTAGAGTGAGCACGAGCCAAATGTGAACGGACGGAGGGACGGACCGACGGGGTGATTACAATATACGCCCATCTTACGTGTGGGCGTATAAAAAGATAGTGAAATTGTGAAATATATTTACCTTGTATTGTAAAATAAATCATGCCACTAATTCATAGGTTTATCAGACATTGAAATTTCATATATTATGGTAAACATTTTTTTTTATAAATTTTTGCTCAAAATTTACAAACAAGAGACAAAATAATAACTTACCTAAGCTTAAATAATAGGTAGTTCACTTTCATAAACATTTTGGAATCTGCTTGCTTAATCTGCTGATTAGAAAATCCACCCTTTTTCTATTGATTACAAAAATTTGATTAAATCAGTTTAAAAATATTTCATATTGAAGTCATGCACAGCTGTAAGAGTAAAAGCAGAATTATGAGAAATATTTACTTCTGTAATTTCTTAACTAAATCACTATTTGTAGTTATAATAACTAAATTGTCTTGAGCTCTGGTAGCTAAATTAACAATAAATTTATTAATATCACCATGATTATCATTAATATCCGGATTTAAGCCTATTATGACAGAACGACTTAAACCACTAAATCTTTTAACTGAATCTACTGTTAAATCAGCTTTATCAATTTGTGGCAAAATATCATTTGCAACTTTATTAGCATCTTTTTTCTTCCCTGTTAAAATAGCTACATCACCAGTATTTTTCCCTTTGAGTTCTAAATTTCCCAATATTTGTGAGAGGGTTTCTGTTAGCATTGGCTGATCACAATGGATAACATTAACCTTTTTACCAGATGAAAAATCATGAGCTAATTTTGGAGCATCCTGAATGCACTTATTTGAATTATTATTTGTATTCATAAACTTGGAAGCATATTCAAATATTTCTTTACTAGTTCGAGATATTTCAGCCAACATGAAGTTATTTTTTCCAATAAGAGAAGGTAAGCCTGCCTTAAATTTGTGAACATTTTGAGCATAGTCCATGGACACCCAGAAATAACCACTGCTAATGTTGTTATCAAGTGAATGTGTCTGATTAGCCAAATTATCAGCAACTGAATACTAATCACCATCTCTATCTAAAATTCTGAGCCTCATCAACAAATACATTTTGAATCTGTCCATATTTAGAGATCATTAATTGTGGATTTAAAATGTCTGACATAAGTTGACGTCTTGTCAATACTGTACAGATATCAAATGATCTGAAAAACAAGACAGTATCCCCAGTTAACCAGAGTTCATGAATTTCTTTCTTGCAGTTGAACCTTCATATGAACATATGTCTTGACTGAAAACAACCTATTGTCTATTTGCAAAGGAGACCATTCGTTCAACATATTGACTTGATTGTCAGCAATAGACAGCAAGACAGTTATCAGGTAACAGCTATTTGTTTTCTTAGCATTTGGACCAGATGTTGACTGGTGACATAGTTATTTCCTATGTACCCAAAACCAACAGAATCCGCCTAACAGTTAACAATCTGCAACTATTTTGTTTAAGTGTTGAGTTTATGTAATTTATTACATTTTCAAGAGGTATGGTAAAATAACACATATGAACATATAAAGTTCAGATTGACTACTACTTGGACATACTACTTACCTTATATATATTCCCTATCTGCTTCATGAGGTTTATATGAAGCTATTGTTATAAAGACAGAATCTAATAACTTGTCTAATTTTACTTGAGACATTGAAAAAGTTGATGGAAATAATTTTTGGCTGATTTCTGCTTGAAATGTTTGTAAATATAAATTGTCATTGATATTAACAATATGACAAGATATACCAAGTCTCTCACAACTTCCACCAAACTGTACCAACTTTTCTTTAATTTGACTACCTAACCTCACACACACTTTCTGAACTGTTTTTAAGTCATAAACACCCTGTTTAACAAAGGTTATTAATAACAATTCATAATGAAAACTTAACACCAGTACACACTGAGTGATTTTGGAAACCAGGAATTGAGATCAAGAGCTATATGTTCTTCTGTCTCAAATGTTGATAAAATCTTAACTACAGTTGATTTCAATACATTACTTTTTGGTAAATCTGATTTTGTGGAATCTTCAGAAAGTGAAAATTAAAGTTCGGTGTCTCGGACTAATATAATGTATTAACAACAACGACTACAATAAACGAACTTGTACCAAAGCCACGTTTTCTACACTTCATAGCATGCCGTCTTACAGTCAACAACGTGGCATGAGGTTGTAACCATCTTTTCCTCTATGTAAATCACTGCAATAAAGTTATTCAAAATACACAACGTGAAGTCCTACATTCCAGTCAGTCTTGTGTAAGCCCTAGTACACAATTTGGTGCCGTGATTATAGAAAGAATTTGGTGCAATATTCAGTAATTTATTATAAAATTACAAAAGTATATTACAAGATGAACATCTATACATATACATTAATATTACAATACAATAAAAACATAGTAAAGCATAGTAAAAAAATGTACAGTTATAGTACGACCTGGATACTGTTACAAAAATAGGCATTGGCTGCAACAACTGCTCCTTCTAGGCATGTATATATTATGATTTGAAATAATCAGAAACATTGAAGGACTAGCTTCGAGCTATTCTCATTATTGAGCGGAAAAGAAGCCATTTTTCACTAAAGGTGTTGGAATCGTGATTTTTATGATTTAAAGATAAAAAATACTCAGGGTCTATTTGTGAATTAATGTAAATAATCATGTTCTGGATAGTTGGCTTCCTATCTTGGTTTTTACAGAGGTATATATAATATTTTACAATTAAAGACACATTTAGTTTAATGGGTAGCTAAACAGCACATTAAACACTGTGAAATTAACATCGATCTGCATTTGTTTTAAAAGTAAAGTGATGTGATTCCAAAGGCTTTGAATACATTTACACATAAAAAAAAGATGATCTAATGTTTCCTCCTCCTCCTGGCAAAAGGTGCAAAGTGGACTTTGCACATATCCTATCTTAAAAAGAAAGACGTTACTGTTTAATATATTATTTTGGATTTTAAATTGAAGTTCTATCATTTTAGTATTTGAAGAATTCGTCCTTGCTATCATATCTATTGTTTTGCAATCCATTTCTTGATTAAATCTATTTTGTCATTTTAATTGACTTATATTTTCTACTGAATTATTTCCTATTAAAAGATCATATATATGTCTACTGCCAGTTTGTTTAAAAATAACTTTATGATATATTGAGAGATGTGGGCCATACATTTTTGTAGGTTTTATAAAATCGTATTTATATACTTTTTTGACTGTTCGAATAATTCTTTCGTAGTCATGGAAATTTCCATTACACAATCTAAATATACGTTTTATATCGTTAAATGAATACATTTCACCACTCTCATTAAAAAGATCTAAATTTGTACGTATCCCTTTATCAAACCATTCTTTAATAAAAAATTTGTCACTACCAGAGAACCAGATGGGGTAGGCTATGTTTTTACCAGAATCATTCATAATATTGCATAAACGCTGGGTTTTGGTGATTAACAGTGATACATCAACAGGGAGATGGAAGAGGTTTGCAGTTTCATCGTCAGTTTATACCACATGTAGGCGGCAGAAGTCAGATTCTTTTCATCCACAGACGTTCGAAAACGCACCATCGACAGTCAGCATAGAATTATTTGTGAAGAATTTTGGTAAACATAATCCATTTTTGTTTTTCCTTGTCTTCACGTGCGTTAAAATTCACATGCAAGATGCCAAAAGATGGTGAAACGTCAGATGTTACAGAGAGCCTGTCCGAAACCCACAAACGATTCGTACGAAAACGGGCTACTTTGAGAAGTTTGTTTACAAAAGAATATCGACGAGTGATTGCCATAATCGACAGTGAAGAGTCTGCTTTAAAGACTTTATACGTTGTCAAAGACAAACTTGTGAATGCCAAACACAGACTTCAAGAATATGATGACAAAATTCAAGATCTCCTTATTCAAATGAGCTCTGAATATGATTTTGATAATCTCTCATTGCTGTTAGCCCGCATTGATGATTTCCTACATGCTCTTGAAAAAGCAAGTCAACTTTTTTCATTAGCCGCTACCAAGTCTGCGAAGCACTCATCTGTCAAACTACCAAAGATAGTACTTCCTACATTTGATGGTGATCAACGCAAATGGAACAGCTTTTGGGATGTATTCGAAAGTGAAATTCATACCTGTAAGGATATATCTGATGTCACAAAGTTCAACTATCTGAAAGGTCAGATGAGTTCATCAAGCCAGTAATGACAACTATGCTCTCTTGGTACAGACACTTCAAGACAATTATGGTAATCGTACTCTCATCAAAAATTTTCATTGTCTTGGTTTGGTTAACATCTTCATTTTTAAGAGCATTTTATGATGCAGTCATTGGTGATATCCGATCTCTGGAGACGTTACAGTTGTTACCTGACCATTATGGGGAATTCTACGTTCCAATTCTAATGGAAAAGCTTCCAGCTGATGTTCTTACAACAATTCTCGAGACATATACCGATGATAATCCACTTCTTATGAAGCTGATGTACACTTTACATGCCGAGGTCAAGAAATTGGAGCATATCAACACCATAAGTCAACAGAAAGTCAAGACTATTTCAAGCAAGACGACAACAGCTGTCAAACCAGAAACTCTTCCGCCAGGTAGTGCCACAGCCATGCCAGCTACATCATCCACTCAGTCTTCAAGATCTTTCCAAACCAAACTTTTCAAGAGACCAGCTCGTCTTTTGTGGTGGTCAACACAACACATTCCAGTGTACACTTTCTGTCGATGATCGTGTCAAAGCTGCCAAGTCACATAATCGGTGTATGAACTGTCTTAAAGATTCTCATTCATTGAAAACTGTCCTTCACATTGGAGGTGTGTAAGGAATCTCATCATACAGCAATTCATGGTTCGAATATACTACAGTCTGTGTCTACATCAGGGAAGTCACAGAGAACTGCACCTTCTGCACGGACTGGTACAACGAAACGAACGCAGCTTTTATGGGTACAGGAAGTTTAGCTGATACATTGTCAGATGTTAGTTCTCCACAATCACAGACCTATTGTTACAAGTTACCAGAACTGCAGTCTTGCTTAGACCCAGTATTGCTGAAGACTGCTGTTAAAGAATGCTGGTAAAGAATGGTCCAACTGCGTTAGAAACTAACTTCTTCTTTGAAGTCTGTACGAATTCCCTGTTGGTTCCATCGATGTCATAAAAGATGAAGGTGTTGTTAGTTTAGAAGTTTTATTCAAAGATCAGATTGTACAACCCATTAGCTGCAATGCATGGTCAGAATGTCTACATAAAGATCATCTGAAACAACTACGATTGGCGAACCATTTCGATCAACTCCATTTCGATGTCCAAATATTCATTGGTTTGGACTCCGTTTGGAAATTCCTTAACCGGAAATCATTCTCGGATTTCCAAGCATCCAGTTTGGGTTATCTTGTTTATGGCCCAGTCAACGACCAAGTATCTTCAGCTGATTGAACTGCGACGCAATGTTTGGTGGTAGAATCTTCTGGACATGATGACGTCGAATGTATATCCACAGATCTTACAGACTTTGAGTTACACGACAAGGTAAACAAGTCACTGCAGATTGAATCTTTGGGTATTGAACCGTTCGACTACCAGACGGACTCTGAATTTTTAGAGAGATTCATCAACCAGATTACGCTCCACTACCATGGTTAGACAATCAACCAACACAACAGTCCAATCTGTCAATTGCTCTCAGCAGATTGGAACAGGTCAAGAACAGACTCCTTAAACTTGAATTTTGGGAAACTCGAAAAGAACTATTTTGAAGCAGTTCCAGATGAAGTGCCTTGGGAGGAAGCTGGTGCTTATTACTTAAGCCACTTTTTTGTTCTTCGTCCAGAGAGTGAAACAACTCCTTTAAGAGTCGCCTATGCTGCCAATGCTGGAAGAACGTCTCTCAACGACTGTCTCCATACAGGACCTTGTTTACTTCAACCACTATTTGAACTATTACAAAGATTTCGACTGAACAGATACGCTCTTGTTGCTGACATAGAGAAGGCTTTTTTGAGAATTAAGCTGTTTGAACCTGATCGTGATTATGTTAGATTCCTTTGGTATACAGATGGAGATCCAACCAAACCAATTAAAGTCTACAGATATACCTCAGTTTTCTTCGGTGGTAAAAGGTCACCATTCATATTGAACTCAACAGTTATCTTCCACTTGTTTAAGTATGTAGCAGATCCGGACAATTTCAAATCACAGGTTGCAGCAGATCTCAAAAGCAAACTATACTACGACAACTTCTAAGTGGTTAAGATGATGAAGATATAGCCATCCAGTATTATCATTCGGCATGTCAGATTATGATACGTCATATGAACCTACGTCAATGGTCAACTAATCTAGAATCGCTTCAAAATATAATCAAGCAAGATGGTACTGGATTTACGAAAGAGTATACTACTTTACTTGGTATGATATTTTTTTTCTGAGACTGGAATGTACTCGGCGAAACTTGATTGGGAAAATCACGGCCTCTTATACCACGTGACATACGACTGATGAAATACGACTGATGTTTGGGTGCCGTTCACTTTTTGATCCTAATTTGAATGTCAACATGTAATCAATGTTTAAGTTCGTGGTCGAGGGGGGGCAACTTTTGATGACACTATTTGAGGTGTGGGAATAAGCACTATGAACACTTTAATAGTAAGATATTATACACACGACTGATGAAATACGACTGATGTTTGGGTGCCGTTCACTTTTTGATCGTAATGGGGAAATTCCCACTAATAATCCAAATGCATCTAAATGAAATGTAACTAATAAAATGGCGAAATATTCATTTGAATGTCAACATGTAATCAATGTTTAAGTTCGTGGTCGAGGGGGGGGGGGGGGGCAACTTTTGATGACACTATTTGAGGTGTGGGAATAAGCACTATGAACACTTTAATAGTAAGATATTATACACACGAAGCAGTGCAATGATTAGCAATTTAAGGTGTATAATTACACTTAAGGCAAAGTTAACACTTGAATAAGCGTAACATAACACTATATCTAGTGTTTTTAAGAATACGTAATAAATCTTGAAGGTGTAACCCAAAGATTACCCCCATTAGAGTGTGAACGAGGTGTAAACACTTCGTATAGTGTATTCGTGCACTAAATCAAGTGTTATCGGGGTCAAAATGATTCAATTACACCTTAAACGGTGTAAGAATAAGAATACATAATTAATAGTGTTAATTTTACACAGTCTTCGGTGCATAATTACAACTAGTTTTTAGGAAACATCCCAAGTTTGACAATAACGAGGTTTTGAGGGTATCATATTATACACATCTTCATGAATCGAATTACAAGTGTATGACATGCAATATAAAATCCATCCTTAACCAGTCCAGATATAGTTGATCAGGTAGTAGGCCCTATTAAGTGCACTGTAAGACATTCCACACTCACATTCTGATAAAAATTCTAAAATATTTTCTACAACTGGTTGAAGACTATAAATTTCTTTATGACTATCTCTATCATTTGTGTAATAATAATGCTGATCTCACGCTGTGGCGAATATTCTTGTGAGTATGAATATTTGAATTTTGCGGTGAATTCGCCCAAAAATTGGGATTGTCTAGTGAATATTTTCATCTGGGTCACCCGTCGGTCGTCCCTCGACCTCTCCTTACGAAAATATTACGAATACATTCCAACTCCAGTTATGCGTGTCAATTCCTTGCGAATGTTACGAACGCCTTGCGAATATTACGAACGCCGTGCGAATGTTACGAACGCCTTTGGAATGCTTACGAATGATACCAACGTTCCCAGTGTCTTACCATTTTCTTACGAATGTTACGAATATTCTATACCACCACCAGCCAGACCACCCACACTTGCAGCAGCAACAGCCAGACCACCCACACCAGCTACACCACCCCAAGAACCGGTAGTATTGGCAGATAAATGAGCCTCGTGACACTGGGGATGATGTACCAAGGTCTGCCACACCTTCACCACTAAAAGTTTGACAGGATAAGTGCCCGTCTCACGGATGACTAGCAGGACAAGATGTTTGAGTGACTGGAAGTCACAACGATACGAGCCACGAGGACTACAAGAAACGCCAACAACTCTTTGGTGAGAAGGCACGCAGGATGGAAGACCAAGACTTGGACGGTTCAGAACTCATGCTTTGGTTCAAGAGCATATTTCATTTGTTTTCTAAAATATATGTAATTAAGAGTTCTTATTTTTAACCTTGTTAGTGATTTATTTGCTTTTTGCTATTCCATTTGTTTTCTAAAATAAATGTAATTTAGATTTCGGGGAAGGGAGGGTTTGATTCTCCCAAATGTACAGGCCTAGGGCGGAGCAGACACTTTATTTAGAAATTAGGATTAAGGGTCTTGATATTGGGTTTTCTTCTGTTCTTATTCTGATCTGAAATTAGAAAAAATAACTCGCCCGACGGGCGAGAAGTATAGTATCTGTTATGTACTGATTGTTTTTAGTTTACTATGAACAATATTATCATTTAAGTTCTTATTTTTTGAATATGCAACTATCATTTTCTGCTTATAGACATGGGGGAATTTCTCTTGAAGGCTCTTATAGTGGGTATGAACTATCTTGCTTGCTCGATTGCTGGTTGTATTAAACGGGACAACAAAGGGTGCTATGCCTACATTATGATGAATATTTAGTCATGTAGGTCTTGCTGTATTCAATGTCTCAATCCAATGGGCCTCCCTAGATTGACGGAATTTGGTAGTTTCATCTTCGGGCAAGTCAATTTCTATACGCTCAATTGGGATTAGGGTGAGATCGTCTATTGAATGGTCGTCGAGGTTGAAATGATTAGAAACAGGCTTGTCTTTCTTTAATTTGATATCTGACCTATGAGCATTAGCGCGAGTTCGTAAATTATTCTTAGTTTCTCCTACATATTGTTTGGGGCATTTCTTGCATGAAATTAAATATATTACATTCGAATGTTCACATGTTAGATGTTCATGGATCGGGTACCTTTTATTCGTAGAGTTGCTTACAAAATAATGAGTTTCTGATATAAAGGGACATGTTTTGCATCTACTGGACAAACATGGAGCACTTCTTAAACCTGGAGGCACTTCGGCATAAAGTCTGTTTTTAGCTGCTATCTGTGCTAAGGTGGAATTTTTTATGTTTCGTAAAAATCGTTTAGAGTACCCACGCTCTTTCAGTTTTGAGAAAACAATCGTACAGGCTTGGTTGAAATCAGAAGATCTTGTACAAATTCGATGAAATCGTAAAACTTGTGACTTAATTATACCAGAAAAGGTATGTTTTGGGTGAAAGGAGCTCTTGTGCAAGAGTTGATGAGTATCAGTTTCTTTGAAATACACTTTAATATCCAGTTTATTTGTTTCTGCTATGGAATCTCCCTTAAAGACTGTGGTATCGAGAAAGTCTATGCTTTTGTCACTCACGTTTGCGGTTAGTTTGATAGAAGGATGGTGGTTGTTGAGAATTTCAAAGAATTCCCAAAACTGTTCGATAGAATAAGTCCAAACCATCAAAATGTCATCCAAAAAGCGTCCGTAAAAAAGTGGGTCAAATGGACAGAGGGGCAACACCTCACGTTCCCACTCTGCCATGAAAAGGTTTGCGTGCGAAGGGGCGAATCGTTTGCCCATTGCTGTCCCTGAAGTTTGTAAATATGTTTTACCATTAAATGTGAAATCGTTTCGACTAAGACAAATCTCTAAAAGCTGTAGAATTGCATCGTCGGGTCTGTTTGGATCTGGGTTTCTATTAAAAGCTTTACGAACTGCCGTTAAACCAGTAGTGTTATCGATATTGGTATACATAGAAGAAACGTCGATAGAAATTAAAATGGAATTAGAGGGAACTCGAAGATTTTTTATTTTATTGACAAAATCGGTTGTGTCTTTAAGGTAGGCGCGATGTTGGCATGCTAGAGGTAGTAAGAAATGATCAATGTATTCTGACACTGCATATGACTCACTACCACAGTCAGATATAATCGGACGGCCTTTAGGGATTTTATTCGAGATAAACCACTCCTTGGTTGGATTCTTATGGATTTTAGGCAAAGTGTACAAATGTCTCTCGCGACAATCAGGTTTGGCAGACAGATAGTCATATTGTTTCTGTTTGAGATAACTAGTTTTGACTAAATCGGCAAGAATATTATTAATCATGTTATCAGTTTCTTTGAAAATTGGTTTCGGTAAAATGGCATAATGTTTAGGATTATTCAGTTGATTCTCTGCTTCTGAAACGTAATCTTCCCTATTCAGAATGACACAACATGAACCTTTGTCACTCTTTTTAATAACAATGCTATCGTCTTTCTTAAGTAAGTTTAACGCTTCACGTTCCACTCGTGTGAGATTAGGCTTTTCGTGTGTTATGGAAAGGTTCACTGTTAGGCTATTCATACTCGCAAATGCTTTCAATATTTCAGGATGGATGGCGGCCTGAGGGGGTGTCCACGTGAATTTAGGAATAAACATTGTTCTAGCACCACGTGGGGGGTGGTTTCGAAAAAAATATGTGCAGCTAAGATTTCGTTGAAATCGTTCAATGGATGGTCGGAGATAATTCAAGTTAGCTATCTTTGGTGTGGGAATAAACTTAAGTCCACGGTCTAAGATTGAATGCTGAAGGGGTGTGAGATTTTTGCGGCTCAAGTGAACTACAGTTTGGCCTAGCGGTGGCCTCTCAGTATTTTTATCCCCAGTAATTAGTTTAAAGACTTACTCGATGCTTGAAGCTGGTGTATCCAAAACAAATAGATGCTGTTTGCTGTTTCTGGAGACCAATGAAGATTATCAACTGTTTCGAATTCTTCTTTGTAGGGTGGTAAGATTGTTGCGCTGTTAATACTGGACTCCATCATCATGTTGTTGAGGGTGCTGAGGTTCTGTTGTGCTTTCTTCGAGATTTTATTTGAAATGGGTATACATGTGAAGAGGATCTTGGAGTTTGGGAAGGTTTTGTTGGCTGTGGCGATTAATTTCTGGGCTTGGTTAAAGGAGGTCTTTGGTATCTGATCACGGTTCATGAAGAATAATGGTAGTAGGTTTGGGATCATGGTCGTATGATTCCAGGATTGACTGTATGTGATGGATTTGGGCACCGGGGTAAGAATGTATTTCGGTGTCTGAACTGGTTTTGGTAATTCGATTCAGGTTAGATGATCCAATTATTAAGGTAGATTTCTTTAGAGCAGGTATTTTCCATAATGATTTGTCCTTGGTTTGGTGATAATACGGTTTGGTAGCGGATATAATGGTCGTCGACGGTGTGACTGGTACTGGTTTGGTAGTTGTTAGAATTGTAGCATTGGGAACGGACTGGGATCTGGTTCGAGGAGGGGAAGGTCTGGATACACGTCTCGACTTGGATGGAGACTGAGGGGTGGTTTGCTGGTTCAAAAATGCACAGAAGGAAGAAAGGTTGGCGGATCCTGGATCACGTGGTGAAGATTCAGATGGTGTGGAAGGGGAAGACGAGTCTGAAAGTGAAAAGAGAAGGGGTGTGCCCTCTCTACGAGAGCGTTTACCTATGTCTGCTGGACTAGGAGTAGGTGAACTTCGGGCTCGTTTAGGGGTTTGGTTCGGCAGCGTGGTAGCTCTAGATGGTGCAGGTGTAGTGTCCATTTCAGTTGGTAGATATGGTTACTCTGGTTTTTGTTTCGTTGATTGTTTGGTAGAATTTGGAGATTACAGCTTGAGTGAGACGTTTCCCATAGGAGCGACGGGCCCAGGACAGGGCATGAGAAACGATGCGGTCGACGGCAGGTGATGATAAAGACTTGGTACGAATGGTGGTCAGCTTCTCTTGAAGTGTGGTTTGGTAATGGTCGATCAGGACCTTACAGAGCCATGTCCGATTGAGGGATCTAATATTCGCGTCGACAGCTGATGTTTTCATTGCTGGAAGGATAAAACTATCCAACTCAGAGACTTTGCGTTTGAAGGTAAACGCTGGTTGGCCTTGCTGTTGAAGGGTAAGGATTGCCAAATGATAGAGGCACTGCAAAACTTGGAAGAACACCTTCACAAAGGGTTCTTCCTCCTTATGAGTGGGGACTGGTTGGCGTCGGTGATCTGGTAGTCGTTTCTGTTGTTGGTCAGGTCGATGGTTACCTCTTGATTGGTAGGCTGTGTTGTAGGTAGGTCGGCGATGGGGTGGGATATAGCTGGATGGGTTGGTTGGTGGTCGGCGATTGGTAGGTGGTAGAGGTCGATGGAAGACAGGGCCGTTGTAGGGTACGTGATATTGGTTTGGTTGACGATTAGTGTTTCTATTTCTGGCTTCTTGCCAGTGGTTGTTGTAGTTGGAGAGCATAATGAAAATAACTTGGGGTTAGAAGGGAATGTACAGCGGATGTAACAGGAGGAAACTGTATATGCTAGCGTGAAAATGTTGGGATCAAATTATGCAAATAAGTCAAACTGGGTTTGGGGATATATAAAGTAAGATGAAAGTTATGATGAAAAATGCAAAGAAATATATATTTAGGTGATAAATAACGCTAACAATGATGTGAAAAATTAACAAGTAAAACAAAAACTTACGCAATTGACACGAACCGGTTTTCGAAATATTATCCTTTTTCAAGTGTCGAGGAATGGTTTACTCATCTTACCAACGTTCCCAGTGTCTTACCATTTTCTTACGAATGTTACGAATATTCTATACCACCACCAGCCAGACCAACCACACTTGCAGCAGCAATAGCCAGACCACCCACACCAGCTACACCACCCCAAGAACCGGTAGTATTGGCAGATAAATGAGCCTCGTGACACTGGGGATGATGTACCAAGGTCTGCCACACCTTCACCACTAAAAGGTTGACAGGATAAGTGCCCGTCTCACGGATGACTAGCAGGACAAGATATTTGAGTGACTGGAAGTCACCCACGATACGAGCCACGAGGACTACAAGAAACGCCAACAACTCTTTGGTGAGAAGGCACGCAGGATGGAAGACCAAGACTTGGATGGTTCAGAACTCATGCTTTGGTTCAAGAGCATATTTCATTTGTTTTCTAAAATATATGTAATTAAGAGTTCTTATTTTTAACCTTGTTAGTGATTTATTTGCTTTTTGCCATTCCATTTGTTTTCTAAAAAAAATGTTATTTAGAGTCATTATTTTTAACAAACTTGCTCGTGATTTATTTGCCTATTGCTATTTCATTTGTTTTCTCAAATAAATGTAATCCAGAGTCGTTTTAATCTTGCTAGTGATTTATTTGATTTTTGCTTTTTCATTTGTTTTCTAAAATAAATAGAATTTAGAGTCATTTTTGTCGTGACCATAGGTTAAATAACTCATGTAGAGATGATAAAAGAATTTCGTTTATTCCAACTCCAAACAGATCGTCCATACCCAAATTCACACTCCGAACTCTCTCTCCATCACGTGATCTTACATCCTCCTCATGAAACAATCGGAACTGACTGATAATATTGTATGAATATAGAATGACTCTTCTATGGGTAATATTTAGTTATGACACCTCCACTCTTAAAAAAGCTGAAACGAAATAAGCCATCAATACGAAATAAAATGAAAATAATTTGAAATAGTAACCAACTGCTACGACAAAGTACAAAAATGACTATTTAATTTTAAAAAAATTTCAAATTAGCAGGCTGAAGGATCAAAGCGAACAACAGGCTTAGGAATGCGACTTGAACGACGTAATATAGGTTTGAGCGGTGAGATTGGTTTTGATGTGGAAGATTTAGGTTGAGGTGGCGGTGGCGGTCTTGGTGCGAGTTGGGGATTGACGTTTAATGTAGATTGTGCTGTGAGGTCTAAATCACCTCCATAAAAGAAAATATCGTCGTCTGGATTGTATGTTGACTTTTAAGGTATTGTATTCTGTTTTGGCTGAAGTTCCGGAATTGCACACGGAGAGCAGTCTCTCGCATGGGCAGGTTTTAAATTTTTGAAATGAGCTATTATTGTATGATTTGTTCCTGCATTGAATATTTCATAGGCTGTTTCGCCAAGAACTGGAACAATTTCGAAAGGGCCTTTCCATAGGTCTGCAAACTTTTTAGATTCGCCTTCTTCGAAAACCATTCGACGAAGATATACAGTGGTGTAACCTATTTTCGTGCATATAAGGATTCAACACCGAATTTCGTCAAAGTTATAAAACAAAATTTTTTTTTATGTCTTAGATGTTTCCTCAGATATTCTACAAAATAATTAAAATTGGTTTGTTTCAATTTTCTTTATGAATCCTTCACTTTGACCCATATTTCATAAGCAACCAACTCGGCAACGGTGGCAGAATGCGTCACCTATTTTCGTGTACAATGTTTGATCCATAAATAAGTCGAGAAAAACACGTTGTATGCATACCCAGTGGTATAATCAATTCATTATAACTAGTGACAATTCCTTCAAAGAACCACGATTTAAAAAATGGTGACTGACAAAATAGGATACTAGCGTGATTTATTTCTAAAAGACACTGAAACAGCATAAGACACGGAATCCGCTAGTTGATCATTCAACTGGAGTACATTCTAGCAGACGACAATTGGAATTCCGATTATCGCTTGGAATTATAAGGAAATTCGGCCGATCAAAAATGGTAATAAGTGAAATCCGCCATTTTGTATTTGTAAAAGGATACATTAATACATTTTACCTTGCTAGAAACTACTGGATTCATTCTGCTTGCTGCCATTGTAGAGATAACACATGTTTATCCAAACAAGCAAATGCGGAGGTCACGCGAGGTCGCATATGTAAATTATTAATCATTTCATGAAAGCACGAAAAATAGGTTAGCACAAAATTAGGTTACTTGACTGTACTTTAACTCCAATGGAGTAAGCTTCTCCACGAACTTTCTTGTTAAACCATGTCTTTTGTTTTTCAGCAGTTGCTTCTGTATGACGATGGACATCTTGAAATGCTCTTGTTAGTTTTTCTGATAGTGATTTAGCGTAATCATCAAGTGACTTGGTATGAGATTGATAAGAATTCGCTCCGAATATAGCATCTAATGGTGTCCTGGGTATTCTTCCATAGACTAGTAGAGCAGGAACATGTTATGTCGTTGAGTGCGTTGTGGTATTGTAGGCGAGACATACAAGTGGGAGATAACGACCACATTCTGATAAACGTCCACTAGCACACTGTTTGACTATGGCTGATAACGATTCTGCAATTACTTTGTTAGATCGTTCCACTTGACCGTTGAAACTTGGTGTGTATTCAGGAGTTTGAGTTTTTCGGATATGGAGTAAAGCTGTAAATACAGATCTGTCATTACTTCAGAGATGAAAGATGCCCCCTGAACTGTTTGTGGTATACCAAAATGTGGAATGGGCTTGTCTTTCAGTACATCCGCAACAGTTTTAGTCCTTAAAAATCCATGGAAACTATTTAAAACGGTCTGGAGGCCATGACTTGGTGTAGTGGCGATTCATTGCTAGGTGTGGGTGTGCGAAGAGCGCAGAAACTACAAGATTTACAAAATTTTTTAGTATTTTTTCGCCATCCCGGCCAGTAAAATCTTGGGCGTATTTAATCCAGAGTTTTTTCCTCACCAAAATAACAACATGTAGGATTATCATATGAAACGGCTAGAACTTCTTGTATCAATGACTCGGGAACAATTATCAGAAGACCTTGATTTCTGCCATAAGGGGATTCATCTTTCTTGTAAAGTATACCACGTGTGACTCGTAACAGGTGAGGTATGGCTTTAAATACGGATTATTCGAGTTTTCTGGAACTCAATACATATTTATTGATTGATTGTATGATTGGATCTTGTAGTTGGGCTATTTCTATAATTTGAGATGACAATGTAGAAACGAAAGTGCCATTGGATGAAATATTTTGTAGATTAGATATCAGTGCTGTATTTGTAATGGTGCGATCAGTTTTGTCATTCAGATCCGAAATGTGGGACAATGCACCAGCATTTGAAAGTTGTTTACCAGGACGATGCTTTACCGTGTAATCGAATTCACCCATGTCAAGACTCCAGCGAGTTAATCTTGAATTGGTACCATTATACTTCTTAAGATAAACTAAAGATTTATGATCCGTTACGAGGATAAATTGTCGTCCAAGTAGATATGATCTGAAGACTTTGCATAACGATATAATGGCAAGACCTTCTCTCTGAATGGTTGAATAGTTCTGTTCTGCTTTTGATAACGATCTTGATGCATAACATGTTACATCTTCTCGACCTTGACATAATACAGCACCAATTGAAAGTAAGGATGCGTCAGTCTGTACGCAGAATTGTTTTGGAAAACGTAGAATTGGCTCCAGAAGTAAACATTGGGATATTAAGTGTCCTAAGTATTTGATGCTCATTTTGGCGAAGTGGCATTTGCTTGGTTTTAATTTGAGATTAGCTGTACGCAAACGTTCGAATACAGTAGTTAAATCCTGAACATGTTGTTGAAAGGTTTTGGAGAAAATAACAATGTCAACAAGACAGATTTGCCAATACAGTCCCTTGAGAACGAGCTCCATTACTCTGGTAAAGGTTGCAGGTGCACTGACTAGTCCGAAAGCCATCCTCCGAAACTGGTAGAAACTGCCATCCCAGGGATGCAAATCCACATTAATCTTTTGATGCAGCATCTAATGGCACCTGGAAATAACCTTGAGATAAATCAATAGCGCAGAATTAATGACTTCCTGATATTGCGTCTAAGGTTTCGTCTACTCTGGGAATAGGATATGCATCTCGTCTTGTGATATAATTCAACTTTCTAAAATCAATACATAATCGAAGCGTTGACTCGGATTTTCTGGCTAATACGATTGGAAATCTCCAAGGACTTTCGCTTTCTTCTATTATACAATCTTCGTGCATTTTGGTCGATCATTTTGGCCACTTGCACTTCCTGGTATTCGACGAAGAGGTTCTGGGATAGGGCGCTCTGTAAAAGTATGAAGGGTATGCTGTATTCTGTCAAAAAGTCCAACTTTCCCATCTCGTTTAACGAATATATCTTCATATTCTAGCAATAAATTTTGAGTTGTTGTTTTTCTGATTCCGTACGGTTATTATTACATGATACTTGATCTACTACTTTGTTAAGTTGGGAAACAGGAGCTGTTTGGGTAGACATTGATATATAGCTAGTATTTGGTGAATTATGGTTAGGTTTTGTAGCAGTATTATTGTAAACTGTAGAGACATTGGTAACTGGTGAAGCCAAAGCTATAGCATCTCCTTTATCTAGACATACACGATATTTTCCTAAATTTAACATCAGCTTGGCACGCTTGTTTTCAACACGAGTAAGAGTTCTACCTACAATAACATAAGTTTTTTCATCAAAGACACCACAACATGGTTTAAGAATGGTTCAAATGATAATTTGGAGGGAACATTGATTCCAACAGGTAAAATCAGCTGTTCTCCGGGTGCTATGGATACATCAGTTAGAAGGGATACTTTACTGACTGTTGGAGTCCTTGAATCCTGGACGACTGGTATTATATCATCCTCGAGGATGACCTGGCCCTTCCCATAATCTATGACGATTCCTTGATCTTCTAAAAAATCGCGACCAAGAAGGCAATTTTCTCCCAAACTATCTACAATGTAGAAAAGATGAAGGTTTAATCGGCCTTGGAACATAACAGGTAAGCGCACAATACCATGGACATTAAATTAAGGCATTAAATGTTATCCCATCTGTTTGTTGATGTATATTGTTGGTTGTACCCATAATTTTCCTCTGGGATGTGGGTGTTGTCAATGGGATTGGTGTTGATAGTAATCACTACCGGGATTCGAATAGTGGTATTGTGCATGGTCATTGAAATACTGATTAGGATAAGGTTGTGGAGATTGGGATCGTTGGGAAACTGGTGATCTAAACGAGACAGTGTGTTCATAACATCTGGAACTATCAGGTCCAGACATTTTTTAAAAATGTTCCTTCAAACTAACAATTATAGGCCTAGCTAATGTCACAAAAAACGAGGACAAGTTGAGTACAGATATACAATACAATAGATGCAAAATACTTCAATACTAGGCTAATAGCATTTAAAAAGTGCAATAGGACCCTTTTAACCTTACACGCACACTGTCAGTCAAAGATTTTCAAAATTACAATACAAAATTTTTATCAACAAAAAATGAATGAAAGGAATTAAAAATCACTGATTTTTAACAAAAAAAATCCACGAAACACTTGAATGTTCCTCGGAAAATGCAGGAAATAAGAAATGATGAACCGCTACTATTGAGTGGGCGATGTTTAAATTTGTCGATAATGGCAGGAAAATGTAGGCCTACAAATTACTCCGTATCTTCTGAAATTTCACCAACACTTGAATGTTAGAGTTCGGTTCCACACAATATTCGAAATATTCCGCTATTACAATGTCCGTATATCAGTTGAATAATACACAGTTGAAAAATAAACGCTGTCCCCATTCACATAAAGAAATATATATAAAAGTTGCTGTCGGGGATTTCCTCAACTAAAAACACATGGTCTATTCATTTCCGTTTTCCAACTTCTGCCGAGAAAAAATTGATAAAACGTCACAAAAACCATCTCACTCATAGTGCCATAGTAAAATGATTAAATTGATTTGAAAATGGGGACTTTTATACTCTCTGGACACCGTCTTAATGATACTTTGAAGAAAAAACACACGATCCTCAGCATTGGCAATACATTGGGAAGCGTGTTTTTCATTCTTAACATTGGTAAACGTGTTAAGACATGCGTAAATGGGGATCCGGCGAATGTTACAAACGCCTTACGAATGCCTTTACGAATGCATCGTATGACGAACACGGTTTTAAACACTGTTTATTAACCCGTTTTAAACTAAGCCCACTACATTTTGTTTTGTGGCCGTGAGATTGGTGCTATTTAAATCAGACCAATCAGATCGGTAGAAATGAGGTCAAGTAAACAAAATACAACATCACTTAGCCGCCCCCGTTTGAAAAGATAAGAATACATTCTTTCCAAGTAAATAGTACAAATTAAAAACAAACAAAAAAAGCATCATAACGCCATTTTACTTGACAGCAGGGGCCATTTTGACAATATACGTAATTTTTCTCACTTGTATTACCACGGTGGGGAACCATGACGAATGGGGACGTGGTTTGGAAACATGGCTGTCGTATTACGGCGGTTGACGGCGTCAGAAGTACAAATCCACCCGAGGAACACTATTATGGATAAACTACTTTCATTTTAGAAACATACAGGCATCGGGGACATTCTTATGTTTTCCTTTTAATTATCCATTTTTTATTTATTAAGTCGCCGTATTGGTCTTCACATTACCAGAGACATTCGATTTTGATTTTAGTTAATATGTAGAATATATTATACACTTTATTATTTGATACATTAGTCAAATTAGTAACATTGTTTTTTTATTGTTTGCAGGGTGTTGGTTCAAGAATGGACCGCATCTATTCACCACTACCCATCTTGTCGTGATGGCTGGTCTGAGGACTACTGTTTTCAGACACCTAGATATCGCGATGATGCCATGTTAAAATATGAATCTATTTTAAATGAAAAAGTAAAAAGAGTACCAGAACATATCCGAAATGCAGTAAAGGACTGCCAAAAATGATCTTTTTACTTTCTCTACCTATTCTTTTTTTATTGAGGTGTGTGTAATATTTTGGAGAAACTTGTCCCGAAGTCGTATGGCATCAGGTTGAAAAATTATTCAAGATGGCCGTCAAAATGGCTTTCAAGAAGGCTAAATTTTGAAGGTGAACAATAGTGCTGGTTAGCTAAAATAATTCCGGTCGATACCAAGGTACGATTAGTCAAACAGATGTCGAGCGTGTCAAAACTAATTAATCTAATGTCGGCAATTAAATAACATGTTATGAAGACAAAAAATATCATCAACCAGAGATGAAAGTATGTTCAAATAACCTCATCTCATGAGGTTGGACTTACTGGTTCATGTAAATTCCTATATCACCGGTAGAGTTACGTCCCATATATTTTCTCTACGTTCTCGGTATTGACTGGGAGTCCACAAAGTTGATCAATGGTTGTTAATTTTGTATTCATTTCAGATAGTAAACAGCACTGAGATTTGTATCTATCATTTTTTTAACAATTGCATTATCATATATAACATAACAATAATCCAGCTGTCTTCATCATTACTATGTGGCTCAATTAGTTGAGTGAAGGACCGTGTGCATAATGGGCTGGTGGCCCTCTCCCGGGAATTTTGTTTTTTATTATATAACCTTCTGTATTCTGGGACCTTCTGTAAGTCAGTTTAATGCAAAATAGTTTGAACTTCTTTTTAATAGTTTCCTTCATAGTATAAGGTACTGGATTTGGCCTTATTTTAAAAGCCTTATCTGAAATCAAATTTATTTTATGCTCCCTAAGATAATCTTTGGCTTACCAGTAAAAATTCCTTGAAAATCGTGAAATAAATTTGATAAGGTTCATTTCTTAATTTTGCCCAGATCTGCTAATTTATAATCCATATGATATTGTCGTCCTACAACATCAAAAGGACCTGGCAATTGGGAAATGTCAATGCACATTTGCCACCTAAAACTGAAAAATTATAATTACGAAATATCCTGGTTCATTGATAGCAGAGCTTAAGCCTACACAAAAAAAACAAACGATGCAACCTGTGTTTAACTGAAAAGCTTTCCATCAATAATGCCTCTAAGCAAGCACACATTAAACAAACGTTCCGAACGTGTCTCGAAATGTAGACATTGTCATTAGTTCTACTTGTCCACTTCTGTGGAGATGCAGACTGAAAATGGGTCAGTTGTCTGAAGATCGAATAGCGTAAAACTCTTGAGTAGCAACATGATTCCAGTTCTGATTTCATATTTCTATATCGCTCTCGATGTAGCCTATTGAGAACTATTTTGATAGTGAAAATGTTTATTGTAATGTATTAGTATCTTTAGGTAACAGTATTAATACTGTGACAGCCAAAATTAATTTTGTATCAGATCTTAATTTATATTTTATATGTTCATATTATCATACTATCCATAATTATAATTCAATCATTCATATCCATATTCCATATTCAATCCGTAATGTATATAATTTCTCATGAGATTCTGTGACAATTTGGTTTGTTTATAAGAGCATGCAAACCACATGTTCTTCAGAAAGACCACTGCACTCAAACTAAGGGGTGAGCTCTACTTGACCTGACACTTGCTCTCGGCTACAATACGGAAAGCTACAGTCCAAAACAGATTGCCACGAATGATGATCATATCTGTAGCTATCCGGCGTCAAACTCTGACCTAGGCACAACATATATTACCTCAGTTTCGGGAATTTGTTCAGCCCAGTCTTCATGTAAAATAGACATTGGCCCTCAAACGGACTAAAACCTAAAGATTCCCGTAGGCCTACAGACTCTATGTATGCAAATGAAACCTATAAAGATATCTGTTCAAATCCAATTGATGGATTGGTGGCAACACGGATTTAAGGCTTCCATTAGACACTCACAAAGTCCGTTGCACGCAGTGTGATAAGGCGTTGTAAAAAGCTGAGTTTTCATCAATCCAAAAAGGAATTGTGTCACAATCGCTTAAAGGAACAGTACGAAACTTGTCTTCATAAAACTGCCCTTTTAATATCACTGGTGAAAATCCTGCCCTAGAAAATATACCCAAAAGTGCTTCGGCAATGCGTTCAGTTTCAATGTTCTTCAAAGCAACTGCTTATGCTTGCATGTATAACAGTTACCTTGATCAGTGGTTGGAAATATTTGTCCGATCAAATCCATGAAAGCACCTTGTAAGTGATGCAGAGGAGAATCTAAATGCATGTGTTACGCGTACCAGAGTTTTGTATGAAAACAAACCTAAGCCCACTGAGAATTCAGTTACTGTGAAAATCGAGCTTGTGGCTCGTCCAACCTCCCGACAACGTGAACAAGCCATAGGATGATTAATTGCCGGACAACATGCTCAAGTCATTGCCAATGCAATTAACTGTAGTGTGCGAACCATTGAGAGACTTCGGATTCGTTACGGCACCGACAACAGCACTGATGATCTACCACGTAATGGTCGTCCTCGAGTAACAACACCAAGTCAAGATCGCTATATCCTGCGGCAACATCTGCATAACAGATTCACCACAGCGACACAGGCTGTTCGAAACCGGCTCGCCTCCATACAGGGGTCTGGTGCTCACTCCCCATCATCACCAGCAACGTCTTGTGTGGGTCACTCAACGACAACAGATGGTACGAGTACGAGTGTGGCGAAGAAGAGGTGAACGTTTTATAGAACAGTGTGTGGTTGAAAGAGACACATGTGGAGGACCAAGCATTATGGTATATCGGTGTCATTCAGAAACGTGGACCTCTTGTGTTCCAGAATATTGGCCCAGGCAGAGGTCATGGAGTCACAGCCGCCTGTAACATCTGTAGCCTTGTTGTATGTTGTAAAAAGTAGCCTGGACTGGAGACAAAAGATGTCACCGCTAATGCTATTACCTCCTTGGGTCGTAATGGAACTAAATGTATAGTAGCATTTGCTATACTCTATAATTATCAGGTCTATTGTTACCTATAAGTACTTACTATAAGATTAACATCTTGGGTATTGTTAATTGAGTACTTGGTAACAATAGAAAATAGACTAGTGTCTCCAGATTGGAGGGAAATTCAAATTATTTTCTTTGTTCAGAGCGACACCTATCGGAGGATATATATAGGGCGAAAACATATTTTGGGGGACTAAAGCAAGGAGGAAGGATATAGAATCAAATCCTTTAGCAAGGGTTAGGATCATGTCGTACTAAGAGGAAGAAGGTCTCGGGTGGATTCTTCAGATTTAGTGTAGACCTCTTGTTAGTTAATATAGTGTAAATAAAGTGTTGTAATGCCATGGCCCTCACTCAGCCCGGACTTACAACCCAGTAGAACACTTGTTTGATGACATCCAAAGACGACTAAACCAGATCTAACCGCTTCCAAGAAATACATCTAAGAGCCTGGGCACAGATTCCAAAGGCGACTGTAAATCGTTTGTCCCTCACTATGAAGTGAAGATGCCGGGCCGTTATCGACACACAAGGTGGACACACCAGATACTGACTTTCAGCCTCCATCTATAATTATCATGTGATCAGAACTTTGATATATCATAGCAATAGCTTGAAAGACACTCAAAAAATCCTTTGTGCCAAAATGTGGTTGTTTTCAGACAGGTATCTATTGTTTTATTGAAATTTGAATAACAATGCACGTTTATCTGTGCTTTATTTCTTCAGCACTGTCGATCTACGTCTCAATTATATTATTGATACCGGAATAAGCAACAATCACCTTCCCCCGAACACATAAAAACACCGAACAGGCTTACATAAACACATTTGTATCAAACCGTCCTCTTCCCTCGGAGCTCCACAAATGCCACATGGACAAATTGGTCGCAGACTTGTGTCGGTACAACATACTATTTAATTTACTAATACGGTATCCATTCCGACTAAACCAGCATACCATTAGTCATCAACTATAAAACCAACTTGAAGACTTAGTATATGATTACTAACATTACAGCTAAAAATAGAATTAACAAAATTAGCACTGAAATGACAATTGGTTCTATTTGACCACAATATCTTGAAGCATATCACCACTATCATACAACCAGAAATATCAGTCAATGTTTTGTTATATCAAAACCAGTTGCGGCACCAGCCTCCTGTGACTGAGGTTGAGATTCAAAATGCGGCAGTTCCGTGGAGCGCATAGATACAAGCCTCCCACAAGTTTTCTAAGAAAACTTTTGAAAATTTGAATTGATTTGGTGCATTCTGACAATATTTTGTGGCAAAAACATATAAAAATCAAATTCTTAATTTTTTTTTTAAATGAAGTTGGGGTACAATACAAATCATTATTCTAGGAGGGAAAATGCCCCACTGGCACCGCCACAACAACTGTATTCAATATCAGTTAATGAAATATATTTGTGGTGTTCTTCTGTGTCATAATGTTTTCATCTACATTTTTGCAGCGTTAGATTTAAGTCCTTCCATGATTTTATCTTGTAAATGTGCAAAATAGCCTATTTTGGTGCCGCTGCTCAGTGGTTAATCCTTAAATTGGATGAATTACATTACTATACATCCCAAAGCAGTTTTATACAAACTGGAATGCAGCTACAAACAAACCTACATTGGTGAAACACCCCGACTTACTTCTTTTAGACTTAAATAACATAAATCAGCATGCAATAAACTAGATATTGAAAAATCAGCCATAGCCGAACATATACCACAATATGAAACGGGAACCTGATATTTTAGTCTCTAACAGAAAGGACCGAGTTAAACGGGAAGCTATTGAAATGGGAAATATAAACCAAACCTGAACAGGAATAAAGGACACTATCTGCCATATATGTGGAATGTCTTAATTCTTCAACTTTCACCTCCAGCCCTTATCCTAACCCTTAATCTATTTTATAATCACTTGTTATTAGAACAAGATTCCATTATTTGAATTGAAACGTTGCAGAAATTAAAGAAAGTAGTAGTATATCCATAGTGTCTTTATTTACTTACTTAATTAAAAAGTAATACCGCTGTCCTGACAAAATTATTACAAGCAGAATTATGCCACACACGACGGACTTTTGTCTGCAAAACATTGTTTCGCGACAAAAATCCGTCGTGTGCGTTGGAAAAAACAATGTTTTTTGTTTGAACATCAAACTTTTTTGAATTCTGAACAAATGTTTCTGAAACAATTGTATTTTGTCTGTCGTGTGCGTTGAGCACAAACATTTCAACGAAACATTTGTCGTCATAAACCAATCAGTATACGCCATTTCTTCACGTGGAGTAAAATGGCGGAACTCGTGTGGACGTTTGAAAGAGAAAAGCTTCTGGTAGAAAAATAGGCAGAAAATACATGTTTGTCTCCAGACTAAGCCGATAGAGTTAAGAAAGAGTCGGCTCTCTCGGACATTGCTGGCACGTTAGAAGTAGCAGGTAAACAATATATAGTGGGCCTATGTAGAAATGTAGGCCTAGGCACTATCTATGGCTATGAACTACGATGAATGATATTGATAGAGTCTAGTCGTTTGTTATTAGTCTTTTCCCAGAAATGAAGTAGTCCCGGCTCTGGTCACCCTACTTTCAAATTTTTTATCATTTGTTTTTACATAATAGGCCTTACCGGCAAAATTACCTGTATCCCCTGCAACATTATAATCTAATGTTGCCTTGAAACTCGACGGACCGTAAAAAATGCTACGTTTTTTTTCAACATTTACTTTATGCGGGGTGTTTTATGCTGGAGCAGACTATTTGTTTCATAACGTAGGCATGTGGCCTACGTCTACAATGAGTAGCCTATGAGCCAACTTTAAAATTAAGAAAGGTATGACGTATAACTCAATTAATTCTATGAACTTGGCCTGGATATTTTAATTTCACTGCTTGAAGTAAAAAAAGGAATGAGTTCTTTGAAATCTCAACTCAACAGAGCAAGAAAACCTGCTAGCAGTGGAAGTGCTGCAAAAAACATGACAAAGAAAAACAAGGGAATCGGGAATAATGGAGAGTGACCTTCTATATCAAATATAGGCCTACAGGTATGACGGAGCCTTTAATATATCATTTACATGTATATCACATAATATATAGGGTCTTCAATCATTTTGAACACATATTTAAATCATTTTATCCTGCCATGGAACCCCTCCTACTGCCGAATTGAAAAATATTTTCATTACTTCTCGTTGAGCTTTGTCACTCAATGCGTAATTCCTTGCAAGGGATGGTTGTAGGTTCTGGAATTGGTATCCGATTTCATTTCTGTGCCAGGAATTAGTTGCCCGTCTTCATCTTCTCTGTCAGCAAGACCATTAACAGTACCATATCGGTCAATCAGAAAGCTATGAAGACAACAGGCTGCTAAAATGATTTGTTTCTACTTTATTGGGATTCAGACAAATTGCAGTAAGGAAAACACGAAACCTACTTGCCAAGATTCCAGATGAATTTTCAACAACCCTTCTGGCTCACGAAAATATGTAGTTGAATAATTTTTTTTTAAAATTTCTATGTGATTTTTATAAGATCTATTCTCAAAGGAAATGCATCGTCTTCAATGATGTGGTAATGGATCCTCGGGCTATTTTCTAACCATTTTAAGTGAGATGGTAACTGAAGAGTATTTTTATCCATTGCCTCTTTCAAACTTTTCAAACACCAGCATCTCCACTTCTGCCTGTTAATCCAACGTCTACATATATAAAATGGTAGTTAGCATGAACAGCTGCTAAAAGTAAGATGCTAAAAAAATGCTTATAGTTGAAGAATACGGATCCACTGTTAAGTGGTGTGCGTAGAGAGATGTGTTTTCCGTCAATCGCCCCCATGCACATGGGATAATTTCACTAACCGCCGAAGTCCTTACTGATTTGTAACCATTCGTCATTCGTGTTTGGAACCTAAAGGTGATAACATTTGTATGTGCTTTGTTTTTTTAGAGACCGTAGACTCCTCCATCGGAAGTCAAAGATAGGGGATAAATAGATGACAATGATGACGAAGACGACAGTGTGGATATACCTTTTAACCTTGATGAACCAAATACAGGCATTGATCTGTGTGTAGCTTTAATTGGTGCCTATGTTTCCCAAACGTTATCTCCGATGGAATTCAGAATATTCTTTTTCAAACTCATATGTCACAATTTGATATTTTATGAATAAAATAAGTAATTATCATTGACAGGGTAACTTAATTTACTATTGACGTGGTTGATTGAATGTGGATTATATTTTTGTCAATGTGTAAACAACGTTACTTTATTTCATTGAGTTATATCAGTATTCTGATCTATCTTTCGATTGGTTAATCATTCTGATTCTGTACACCGACTGTTTGAACGAATGGTCAACTTTAATAAACAGTGGTCTTCGCTGAACGATCATTTCATTGGTCAATATCCCTAATACTGCCCATCTATTGGCTAATAAGTATCTCACGCGTTGCTATCTACTTGAGTTGTATACCTAAGATAAGCAACACTGTTTGGATTCGTTTGATAAAGGCTGTCATAGTTTGTTCAAAAAAATGCGTTTTTTGAAGGATAATTATGTCTTCTAAGGAACGTGAACTGTGTAGTGCTAAAACGCAGATGCAGGCGACGGATTTTGAAATACAAAGAAAACTGACACCTATAAAATGTCGCCATTTTTCACATTCCGAGGAAAGCTCCGTTGGACCAAATGTCGATGCTCGGATAATCACAGAAGACGACGACGATTCTGACGAAGAAACCAGGGAACTGAGAACTATCTTAGAACGGCTGCAAGACGAAAAGAAAAAATTAAAGCTATCCAGTAAGAAAGAGAGGTTAGTCAGACAGATCGAAAAGGAAAGAGTGGAGATGACGACGATAGCGGACTAGGAGAAAGGTGATTCTTTTTTACAATCTAAATTGTCCAAATACCAAGGTCGGGACGATGCATCGACTTTAAAATTATTAAGATCGCAAACAGATTCGAAGGCTAAAGCAAGCTCAATACTTAGGAGTATCTTAGAACTCTCTTCTACATCAAGTGACTCTGATCACGAGGAGCTTCGTTCAGATGAGCAAATTGGCATTATAGAAAGAGACACAGACGATCAAACAACAAGAAGAAATCAGAATTATTTGATCGTCTTTGCGATAAAGTCGTTAAAGATAGCTTGCGAGGCAAGGTAACATACGCCCACTGGCAGCTGTCAGAAATGATAAAACAGTCTTTAGTGACTAAAGTACGAATTTTCTCATATTAAAGAAATTTTATTAGTTTGAATTCAATTACATATATATATGCCAGTTATTTATGCTGAGTAATTCCATAAAATTTTTAAAATCAATATCAATTACCCAAATACAACAAACAATTAAATCACACAGCTCTAATCAAGGGCAAAAAACAACTTTTGACGCGTGCTTACAAAGTCAAGGGCAATAACTAAAAAAAAGATCATCAAAATCGGTTGAAAACTGTAGCTTCTATTGTGCTCACAAACAAATTTTGAAGCGTTTTACAAAGTCAAGGGCAATAACTCAAAAACCATTCATCGAAAATTCGTCAAGTTAAAACTTGTCCGAGATCTTATCAAATCCAATGATCACACCAATTTTCATCAAAATCGGTTGAAAACTAGCTTCTATTGTGCTCACAAACAAATTTTCAAGCATTTTACAAAGTCAAGGGCAATAACTCCGAAAGCGTTCATTGAAAATGCCTTAAGTTAGAACTTGTCCGAGATCTTATCAATTCCAATGATCATAACAAGTTGGATCAAATTTGGTTGAAAACTGTAGCTTCTATAGTGCTCACAAAAACATTTTGACGCGTTTTTACAAAGTCAAGGGCAGTAACTCAAAACTAGTATATGAGCTCATAGATTGGTCGCATTTTTTCCCCATTCCATTTCATTTCATGGGTAAAATGCGACCAATCTATGAGCTCCCAAAAAAGACCTAAATTCCCTACATTTCATAAATTCTTACAGCAAAACATCCTACATTTCATAAAACATCCTACATTTCATAAAATTTTTACATTAAAAAAAACCAAAAAATACCTTCAGTCAATTTCCTGCATTCCATCAAAAAAAGCATATTAAAAATACCCTTATATAAAATAACACCCTTGTTTCGCTTAACATCCGGTTTTTAATAGCCTCGTTTTAGATATATGTTATTTTTAGTCTAGAAACTTCTAGAAAAGGGAGATAACTCTTGTTTTGGAAAAAAAACAGACCACAATTTCTTCGTTATATTAACTCATTTAAAAATAGGATGAGTTTAATTCTAAGACACGAACAACACAAATTCGAAGATTATTCGGGTGACGGTATCTTTTCATCAATATTTTCTCTAGGTTCAAAAATAATTCCAATAGTAGCTAGCTTTGTTTCAAACAACAAATCACTCATTCCAACCGGAGCGAAAGGCGTCGCTAGCGGGAAAGAGTATAAGCGACGCAGTGAAACAATCTAACGAGTTGAAAGAATTACAGCTAATAAGAGAACTTCGAAACAGGAGATTAGAAGAAAGGAAAGGAAAAAGTTTTAAAGTTATAGGATAAAAAGGATAGTAGCTCACGCTCCAAAAACTTATTTCGGTTCAGGAGATATACAGAAATCATTGGGTTCTCTTCCTGGATTTCCATGGGCGAAATATCCCGGAGAAAAACATCTTCCCGGTCATAATTATACCGGTCCAGGTTCGATTAGATGAAAACGATAAACCCAAACCAGGGGAAGAACCAGTCAATAGAGTTGACGCCGCTGTGCTTAAACACGATATTTTATACAGAAACAAAGACATAAACTTCAGACACGAAGCAGACAGACAAATGATAATCGAACTTGAAAATATTCCAAATCCAACTTTCAAAGAGAGAATGCAAAGAGTATTAATCATTAAACTGTTAAAAGTAAAGATGAAATTGGGCATGGGATTAGCGGATGAAATTCACAAAGAATTTAGAAAAACTAAAAACTTTTTAAAAGTAAAAGTGTTTGAAAAAGATGAAATATGGTCAGCCGATTTAATTCGCCAGTCGAAAGAGGATTTAAATATTGCTTAACAGTTATAGATTTGTATACGAGATATGTATGGGTTATTCCTTTGAAAAACAAAACAGGATTATCAGTCAAACACGCATTTGAAACGATTATGAAACAATCTAACCGACATCCAGAAAAACTGTGGGTAGATAAAGGAAGTGAATTTTATAACAAAAATATGAAATCTCTGGGATTTGAAATTTAAGCACGCATAACGAAGGTAAAGCTGTAGTAATAGAAAGATTTAACCAATTATTCAAAAAGTTCACGGAATTGAAATATCAAAAATGGCTTAAAATATTACCAGAGGTTGTAGATGAATACAATAACAAAATTCATTCATCTATAGGTGTCACACCAACACAAGCCTCGAGTAATCCAAATATTATAAAGTCAATTAACGCGCAACATAACTACGAAAATGAAATAAAAAATTTAAATATCAAACCCAAATTTAAAGTCGGAGATCGAGTTCGTATTTTCAAATATAAAAGCAAATTCGAAAAAGGTTACGTTGGATACTGGACAAACGAAATATTCATCGTTGATAAAGTAAACACCACATCACCTCCGACATGAATTAATCGATCAAGACAAAGAACAAATCATAGGAAGGTTTTATCAAAATGAACTTCAAAAATGCGACTTTTAAAAATGAATGATGAAGAATTTGATAGAAGATTAAGAGATGTAGACAAGCATTTTCGCTTTCTTAAATTTAAATTTATGTTCAAAATATTATTGAATGTGTTCTATCAGAATGTAATACAGACTACGTTAAAAAAACCGACTTTTAAAAATGAATGAATTTCTCGATAAATATGGAACCGATACAACCACAAACTTTCAACTTAAGAGATGGGCGAATGAGTTAAATATATCACCGTTTTATTATTGTATGAGAGATGAAATAAATGGCCTGAAATATAAGAAAGGTAAATTTTACGCGATAACAAATATACACACTTCCGATCAAAAAGGACTTCATCATTCTGCTTTGTACAAAGACTCTGACTTATATTTCTTCGATTCTTATGGATTAGAACCCACTGAAGAGATAATGCAATTGACTAATAAACCAATCAAATGTTCATTTCAAATTCAATTACCGGGACAAACGTTTTGTGGTCAGCTTTCACTTTGGGTCTTATATCAGTTGAGTTTAGGAAAACAGTTCGAAGAAATTGTAATAAATTTAACTCAATAAAAATGGCGAATAAGTTTGGATTAGGTTCTTTATCTTTAGAAACTAAAAAACCTAACACTACAACGTGGATAAATAAAGCGAAAATACTTTGTGGATCAAATCGGAGACACTCTTCAAGGTGATTTAGATATGAACAATTTCAAAGTAACTAATTTAAAGTCTCCGGAAAACGATAATGACGCCGTTAAAAGAAATATTTACGGGAACAAATAAATTCAATTGAAGTAAATAAAAACCATTTAGAAGATAAAATAAGTAATGTGAAAAGATTCTTCAAATTTCAACTAAATAATAAAAATTTTGCTAATGATACTAAACTACAACAAGAGGTACAAAGATTAATAAGTCTTATTCAAAAAGAATTGGTCAACGTAGCGAATAAAACTGAGTTACAAAATTTAATTTCATTAATATCTAAATTAGATGATAAGATTGCAAAACAAAAATTAGACATTCAACAATTAATAGATTACATTCCAGATGAAAATGAAGATACGTTTCAACAGGAATTAAATGCTCTGGAAACTAAACTTAACAGTGAATTACAAAAAGAACTAACAAATATTAAAAAACAAATACAAAACATAGATGATAGCGAAATCTAAACCTATATTCAACAACAAATACAAAACATAGATGATAGCGAAATCAAAACCTATATTCATCAACAAATACAGAACATTGATGATAGTGTTATTCAACAACAGATAACCACTATTAATAACCTAGTTTTGAAACAGGACAAAAATATAGTCGCATTAAAAAAAAAGTTTCTAAAGAAAGAATCATATTATTTCAATCTTCCATTTGAAGGTTTTAGTTATGAAGATCTTAGAGATGTTGAAAAAGATGCTTCTGTTACTGATACTATTGATAAATCAAGAGATTATGAATGTAAAAATATGGATTTACAGCAAATATTAGAGAATATAAACCAACTTCTTCTAATGATTTTCTCTATGGAATGTTTGATGGTAAACTTCCAACATTTTTTTCTTTTCAATGGAAAACTTCAAATTGAAATAACTTTCCCTTTTCAGGTAAAAGTTGATTCAATATTCTTCATACAAAACTCACGTATGTCTAAGAAATTTAACGCTCGCAAAGTTCTTCAGTTTATCAATGGTACAAAAAATGTAGAAACTAAAGAATTAGAAATTAACGATGAAAACAGCAAGCCTCGTCACTTATATGAAATTAAAACAAGTGGAAAATATATAGATAGGTTTAGAATGTTAATCATACCAGATAATGAAGAAGATGAACTTTCATTGAGTGATTTTGATATGATATTGGAAACGGAAACTCCACCATCAATGAATATTATTAGAAATCCAGAACCACAAAAAGAAACAAACACTTATGAGTTTTTACGAACATCAGACTTTGAATACGTAAAACTATATTTTGTTAATAATGATATATTTACCTCAAATGATATTCATAAAAGTCAACAAAGTCAAAAAATTTTTATAAGAGATGATGCATATGTTTATATAATAGTTTCTATTGAAAAACCAAAATTTTCAGTTCATCTGAATAAGATTAATGATTCAAAAGAACAAATATCGTTAGTATCTGTTCAAGTTATTATTGATGATGGTAAACAAGAAACAGCTTTATCAGAAATTCATTTAATTTAATTACCTAAAAAATTGAACTCGAAAGTAGACAACAATATATGATAGAAAAACAAAACGAACTAAAAGAAAAACTAAAACAATTCAACAAATGTAGAAAAACATGGAGTAGAATCGATTCTGTTTTCAAAACATTAAGTACAGTTTTAACAGTAGGAATAACGGTGGCAACAGCCGTAACCGGTGGATTAATGCTTCCAATAATTGTCCCAACTGTATTAGCCACGTTACTGCCGTTCAAACTTCATCTTGTGGTTTGATTACTTTAGGTTTTACATCAAAACAGAAAGCTCATTATAAAAGGAAAACAGAAATTTTAAATACATATCTTAATAAATTATTCATTTTTTTCGAAAGATCGAGAAAAGATAAGAACATAACAGTTGAAGAAATAGAAAAATTCAATGAAATTTTAGATAAATTTGATGTAGAAATATCATCAATAAAAGTTAAAAATTCCTAGTTAAAAATAGTTGCTTTAAAAATATGAATAAAATTGAAATTTTAGACGATAAAAAATTCATATCAATTAAAATTTTAGACGATGTTATTGACAAGATTATCTCTGATGAATTAAAAAATATGAATAAAATTGAAAAATTCATATCAAATGAACGTTTTTCCAATGTTATTAAGCTTATCACTGATGGATTTTTAACATTTAAAGGGCAAATTGAATTAGATGGAGAGATAACTCAAGATGGAGGATATAAAAAAAGGCATTCAATTTGTAGCTTTTAATACCAAAACTTTTCGCAATTTCTTCGCTAGAGTAGATATAAATTCGGATGCTTCTGATTGGTATTTCACAGGAAAAATGATCTTCCGTAAAAACAATTTCAAAGAAATAAAAAGATCAAAAAAGGGTAGTGGTGTTACCCTACTCAAAAAGATAAATGAATATATCGGTATAAATTGTTATATACCGAGCGATGGATACTGCTTTGTAAAGTGTGTTAATCGTGTTTTAAACGAAGACTACACGAGAGATTTTCAAGATTTCATCAACAGTTTTTCAAAATCAAACAGAAAAGGAGTTATGACATCTGCTAGAATCTGCGAATTCAATAAGAAATTTAATACTTATTTTCAAATTTATATGCCCAAACATAGACATTTTCAACCAAAGAAAGTATCCGAAGAATTAGATTGGGTATTTTATTTACACAAAGAACATTTATGTTTGATAAGGAGAAATAACAAAACCTTAGGCATTAAAGAAATAGAAAATAATTACGATGAAAATGTATGGAGAACTTGTAAAGATGATAATGCGGTAACGCAAGTTTCACCTCTAAAACTAAACATTTTTCCAACCATTCCCGATGATTGTTTATACGCATGGGATTGCGAAACCTATAACGAAAATAAAGCCATACCTTATTCTTGCACGTTAATTAATTTAGAAAAACTAAGAAAAAAGTTAAACAGAATAAATAATCTCTTTCCAGATTTAAAGCCGACAGATCCCATTCCAGAAGACCAAACTCATGACTAATATAGTAGAAATATTTGTAGGTACAGATTGCATCGATCAAATGTTACAACGTTTAGGAAAAATAGATCAAAAAAAGAATAACATTAAATGCTCATAACGCTAGCGGTTTTGATAACTGGATCATGATCAAAAACGTAAAAAAACGTAAACACAATGCCCTTTAAAAACGCCCAGAGGAATTCTGTCTCTACCTTTAACTAATTCATTCACTGATGAAGATTTACAGAAAAAATGGAAAAGACAGGAAGAAATAAAGGGTAACTCTAATTATTTGCAAAATATTAATTTCATATGTTACTATCATCACGAATCATCTAGTTTGGCAGCATGGGGGAATTCATCTAATCTACCAATGAATTTGAGAAAGATCGAGGAAGTTAATATTGCAAAATACACTAAAGATAATTGGGAATGGGAACCATACGCTAAAAGAGTTACGTTATGTCTCGGAGCTTGTTTGATAAAATACAATCAAGCAATGAAAGAAGTTGTATTTCAGAATATTTCCAATAATCCAACAGCTCCTTCTTTATCTTTAAAGGGTTGGTATTATTTATATCATTACGATAAAGAAATGGTTGAAGAAGAATGGTATGAAAGTACTAGAATGGTTCCGAAACACACTGAAAAAGAAACCGTAGAAAAAGTTTACTCACATACTCACCCTTTTATATGATATTTTATCAGACAAAGTATTAAAGGAGGAAGAGTTTCGGCAAATCGAAAATCATTTGAAACGAATAAAATGGATGAAATTTGTAATATATTAAAGGAATACAATGCAAGTGACACTGATAATATAATTGATTTATTCAAAGAATATAGCGCTAGCACGAAAGATAAAACGCAGGTTCATTCGAGACTTAAAAAAATAAAATGTACTAAACTAATGGCCTTTGATGCTAACGGTTTGTACGCTTCCGCCATGTCGGATTTAGATAGCGAATATCCGAGAGCGGAAAGTGGTAGACCATTTCTACTGGAAGAAAATAAAGAATTTGTCAAGCTCTTTAATGAACAGAAATTCAGACCTAGAACTGCTATTTTAAAAGTCTGGTTTGAATATCCCAAAAACATGTTCTTCCAACCCATACCAGCTAAAGATAAAATCACTTTCACGAATAAAGAAGGTAAAAAGGAAATTGGCACTAAAATCAGATTCAGAAATGGTTTCTGTTCAGATGTTTTATCATCGGTCGATATTCAAGAAATAGTTAAAGCCGGTGGACGAATTATTAGAATATTAGATGGTATAGTATACGAAGAAAATTTTAAAACTCCACCCTATAGAGATTATATCTTAATTTTGAGAGATCTAAGAAATAAATATAAACGAGAAGGCAATATCGTAGGTAGTAATTGCATTTAATTATTAGGCAATTCGTTGTAAGGTAAATCTATTCAGAAGGATATAACTACATCGAGACATCTATGGAGTGAAGCGACTTTAAAAGCCAACTATGATTCACATGTCAAAAGTTATGAAAAAGTAAATGATAGTCAATATATAGTTGAGATAAATGAAGAAGAAAAAGAATTTATTCCTCCTAAATCTACACGACTAACACCTAGTCATTTGGGATCATTCGTTTTATCTCACAGTAAAAAAATAATGAATAATTTTATTCGCGTGATAGATGGATCTTATAAGCCTGAAATATACTATACGGATACCGATAGTTTATACATTTCGTCTAGCAATTGGGATAAATTAAATGAAGCTGGGTTGGTGTCCGAAAATGATTATTGTAAAGGAAAGAATGATTATGGTGATGGTGGAATTATATTTGGTTTATACAAAGTTAAATACAATATCATTCTAACTTCCGATGGTGTTTTAAAAGAAAAGAAAACGTTTAAGGGTTACTCTAAAGATAAGATATCCGTAGAAGATTATATTCGATAAGCTAGTGGACTCGATGTAACGAATGAATTTAAGAAACCTTGAGTAAAAAGTTTCACCAATGGAGTAGTACTTCCAAAGGATGATGATAAACAAAAGAAAGTTTTTAGACGTTATCTAAATCTCGTTAAGAGAAAAGCACCAAACAGTGAAGGAATCATGTATCCTTACAACGACGGAAAAGAATTGAACATAGATGAAAACTACGAATTTGATGATTTTGGTTATCTAACTATTCAAGAAGAGAATGAAGAGTGTTAATTTTTTTGTTTTAAATGAAGTTGAATAACAATTTCCTCGTTACCAAAATCTATAAACCTATTTTACCATCTTTAATTTCCAGATTTATATCTTAAATCATAAAGGAATTAAGTGGTAAATACGTAGTTTGAAATTGTTTCTCTATAATTCTATATCCTATCGGTACAGTGAATGTTGGAAGACTGTAAATAATCTGACGTTTGTATTTATTGAAAAATCCACCGTTTATCAAATTGCAATGTATATTTATCACATCGATATCATTCTCGATATTAGCTTTGTGTGGTGCTAAAGTGGATTGGGTGTATACTCGTTTATTAAATCCTAGTAACTTATTCAATGAATTTTCTACGTTGAAATCAACTTGACTATTATTTCTTAATATCAATTTTATTTTGTTCAGATTCAAATTACCTTCGAATTCAATATTGTTTTTACCATTAACACCTCCTCCATATTCAGATAGGTATTCGTTAATGGCTATGTATTCGTAGCTTCCTGGTAGTAAACGAATGGTTTTGAACGTCGTTATCTGTTGATTTTTTTATTTGATTATTTTTTTCGTTGATATTTCTAATGGAATTGTAAACAGAGAAATACTTTAATCCCAATTCATATTCTTGATTGCGATCGAGTTCGTACTCATAATCTAGAGATAATTTAATGTCTGATTTATTTGAGGTGATGACGAATAGTTGTTCTTTATTTGACATTTTTAATCACGCTTTTATAATCATTTTTATCTATGATACCTTTTTCTAGGAGTCTTTTTAATATACAATTTACTTCATTATATTGTCTGTGCGATCGATGACCTTCCTTCATTGCCGCTAATATTACTCGTAATCTATTAAGCAATTCTTCGTTGTTGTCGGATGAAAACGTTATACCTTGTCCGGATATCATATCTTCGAATTCGTCTATTTCTTGTATGATTGATGGATTGTCTTCATTATAATCACCCGATTCGTCAACTTCGTATTTATGTTTTTGTTCAATTATTTTTATAAATAATTTAACTTCTTTCGATCTATTTGTGTCGGGTCCTGTCCTTTTAACTGCTTCTAGAAATTTTGAGTACGCTACTAAATCCTTATAATCGGCAATACCAACATCCGTTGCGTTTTTTCTAATGAACATAGAATCCATCCCGTAAAAAGATTGAGATTGGTATATGCAATGACAGTTGTGATGTCTTCCTTTCGTGAAGAATTCTTGTTGAACAGCTTGATTTCTTTGCGCTACGCAGTCGTCAAACAATATTAAGTTCTTTCGTTTACTATCAATATTGGACAAGTCTAGATCATTAACATTTTTCGTAAGAAAAACGTTTATATCCGTTGGATTCTTTGCTTCGATATCTATGATATCTTTTATTTCCACTTCTTCTTCGTTTCCTTCGTAATATTGAAATAGGTCTTGAACATCTTTCTTTAGTAAATATTCTAAAGCTTTGAGAAATTGATAATACGATTGCTCTGGTGTTGTTGTGTAGATATTCAAAGAATCGAAATCTAAAAGGTTTGGTGTTGTCAACATGTTAAAAGTGAGATTAGTTTTCCCAGAACCGGAACTACCGCATATACACATGAGCATTGGGTTATTAGGAAATATTTCTGAATGATTAAATTTTTTGCCAATTTATTATTATTTTAATTTGTTCCAAAAATCACTCCTTCTCTTTTATACTGTATTTTTTACTCAATTCTTATCATTCTTCTATCTGCTATTTTAATTAAATGTTTTGCTTCTTCCAATAATAAACAATAACCTGTTACCTCCTTGTGTTTTTTCAATATGAATATTTATGTTGACTCCTGTTTTGAAAAGATCTTATTGATGAGCTGATAGATCAAAACAGAAGATTGGATGATTAAGTGCAAAATCTACATATTCAAACTGAGGTGGATTTCCAAATAATTCACACATATTTTTATAGTTTCTATACAATTCATTATAATCCTTTGTGAATGGATTAATTGTTAAAGGTTGGTTAGGATAATTTTCGTTGTTTAATCTTACTTGAACTTTATGGATTAAAGGATTTTGAGTTTGGTTCATTGCCACTCTAAAGACATTATTGTTATTCGTTTGAGAATCTGGTAAGTTCCTGAAACCAACCATTAAATATCTTGCTGGTTTAATAGTGTTAGTGATTGGCCAGGTGGTGGATTCTCCCTTTAAAGTCATGCTACCTACCGTGTTACGATGCAGAAAAGCTATTTCAATATCTTTAGTTAACGAGTTGAATATTCTCGTTTCTACTTCAATTGGTGGTGTTATTACGGGTATGAAAAGTTGGAGATTCGTTATTTCTAATTTTGCATCTGAACCATTCTCTCCAAAAAATATCTTATCATCGTTGGTTTCTCTTTGTAGATGAATTTTATATGGTAACCCTATGGAAACTTTTCTATGTTCCAACAGACCGAATAAAGGATATAATTTCCAATTTACGTAATTACACCACCTATTATTCTCAACAATATTATTATATAATATATATTATATTACTCATTTTTCGAATCCATGATTAGCTGCTCGTGCTACTCTTTCTATTGTGTTTCGAGCAACAACTCTCACTCTAACTAATTCGGCATCATTTGCAAGATTTCTTACCGGTTCTTTTAAAACACTTCCATCGCCAACATCGGGTATCCAACCCGAGACTGAATCGAAATCTTTAGGATATAAAACTGTTTTCAACATTGTGTCGAATTCCCCAGGATGTTTGATTATTTCTATCGGATTTGAACCAGCTTCCAAAACCATCTCGCTAAATAAAGATGGAAAGAAATTGTTTTCTAAAGTTGTATTAGTTTGTGGTACTTGATTCTGAGTGGCGTCTTTGATTTTGAAATCGCATCTGAAATAAGCATCAGAAAGAAGCAACCAATTCGATAATGAATTTATTTCGAAGGTAATTCTACCACCATCATTCAATTGGGATTTAGAACCAACAGTGGGGGAGATGATAATATAATCCTCTTTTTTCTTGTTAAATGAATAACGATCTAGTTTTTTATTTGCCATTTTTAAGGTTTAAAATTTGAGTAGAAATTTTCCCAAAACAAGAGTTATCTCCCTTCTACATTATTTTAAAACCAGATGTTATTTTTATATAAGGGTATTTTTAATATGCTTTTTTTTGATGGAATGTAGGAAATTGATTGAAGGTGTTTTTTGGTCTTTTTTAATGTAAGAATTTTATGAAATGTAGGATGTTTTATGAAATGTAGGATGTTTTGCTGTAAGAATTTATGAAATGTAGGGTCTTTTTTTTGGGAGCTTATAGATTGGTCGCATTTTACCCATGAAATGAAATGGAATGGGGAAAAAATGCGACCAATCTTTTAGCTCATATACTACTCACAAAAACCGTTCAGCGAAAATTAAAACTTGTCCGAGATCTTATCAATTTCAATGATCACACCAAGTTTCATCAGAATCGGTTGAAAACTGTAGCTTCTATTGTGCTCACGAACAAACTTCGACACGTTTTAACAAAGTCAAGGGCAGTAACTCAAAAACCGTTCAGCGAAAATGCGTCAAGTAAGAACTTGTCCGAGATCTTATCAATTCCAATGATCACACCAAGTTTCAGAATCTGTTGAAAACTGTAGCTTCCATCCTGCTCACGAACTATTTTTAACAAATTTCGACGCGTTTTAACAAATTCAAGGGCAATAACTCAAAAACCATTCATCAAATGCGTCAAGTTAGAATTTGTCCGAGATATTATCAATTCCAATGATCACAGCTAGTTTCATCAGAATCAGTTGAGAACTGTAGCTTCAATCCTGCTCACGAACTATTTTTAACAAATTTCGAAGTGTTTTAACAAAGTCAAGGGCAATAACTCAAAAAACCATTAATCGCAAATGCGTCAAGTTAGAACTTGACCGAGATCTTATCAATCTAAAGCATCACACCAAGTTTTATCAAAATCAGATAAAAACTGTAGTCTCTATAGTGCTCACAAGAAATGTTGACGGACGGACCGACGGACAGGGGCAACGACAATATACATGTGGGCGTATAAAAAGCGGTTCTGGCCCCAATCAAAACTTCAGTTCGAATACGCCGGGTCCAAAGTAAGTTTTGGTGATCTTGATTTCCGTTTGTTCGTGGCCTGTGAGTTAGAAATTATCTCATGTGCAAAGTTTAACGAAAAGGAATGAAACGGAAGAAAAAAGCTGCTCAAATGGTGTTTCAAGTTGGGATACGGATTTTAGTGGCATTGAAATGCCTTTGTTAATCAAATATGTTCGATCTGACAAGCTGAATAAGCAAAGTGTTGTAGATAAGAGTAAGAAGGGTAACAGTGGGATTATGGTTAAGAAAGACGAACTAAGAAATACTGTATTGTTCATTCTATCAGAAACGAAAATGTTCTCAAACTGCTTCATGGAAAAATAAGAGGTGTTGAAAATATCTGCAACGTATCTGTGCCACTTGCTGGAGACGGGACAACAAGAAATTGGTCCATCCAGAAAGCTCCGAGCAGTGTCCTCATTTCGAGGATTGACAAATATTAAACTCCGTTTCTTACCCAGATAACGAGTCACATGTTGTACCCAAACATAATCAGTCTCTTACAGCAATTTTCGAACGAAGGAACAGATTCGTCTTACCATATTGAAAATTGTAGAATCTTTGGAAGGCAACATTCTCACGTAATAATCGATGACGTGGCCTTAAATCTATAAGAACATTTTTTAAAATATGATGATTCCTTTGTTAATCGTTCAAAGCTTCCTAATGAGATATCTGATATTAGTGGCTCTCAAAATGTTATAAACGAGAGTAAAATTGATAATATTATAAATATTCATGATAAAGTCTTTAACTCGGGAAAACCCAATTATCTCGGATGTAAGTTTCCAGTTCAATCCAAGTTAAACATCAATTTCCTTCGTGAAAATTTGAAAAAGTATCATGATAAATCAGTGTGCGAATTTTTGGAGTTCAGTGCACCTATAGGAATCTCTGTAAATGACCATATCTCTAAGGAACTTTATCAGGGTGAAACGATTGATATATCTTACCCAAATCTTGACTCTTTGGTTGAAATTATTAAATGGAAATGTAGAGGGTGTCTCTGCTTTAAGAAAGATTTAAAACGTTGTTGTAGACAATTTCGAGTCTGTTATGGGGATTTGCACTTATTAGGTTTTATTTGGAACGATTCTTTTTATTTTGATCGAGTATTGCCGATGGGATTAAGGTCTAATGCAATTATTTGTCAAAGAACAACTTCATCGATTAGGTACATGTTTGGACGAAGAGGTTTTCAGGTTGTTAATTATCTGGATGACTTTGGTGGAGCTGAAACACCCGATAGGGCGTCAGAGGCAAACCGGGTCCTGGGAGACTTGTTAAAGTCATGTGGAATCGAGGAAGCGCCCGACAAAGCGGTGTTCCCAACGACAAGAATGGTATTTTTATGTGTTAGTGTAGATACTCAAAGTACGACCATGGAAGTTACTCCGGAAAGGGTTTCAGAAATTTTGGCACTTGTTGAATCCTGGTTAACCAGAAAACGTGCTACGTTAAAAGATTTACAATCATTGTTAGGAAAGTTACATTTCATATGTAATTGTGTTCGACCAGGTAGAATTTTTGTGAGTAGATTGTTAAATTGGCTACCGACCACGTTTAATGACAAAAACGGCGATAAAAAACATAGCTCGAAATTCATTCCTGCCGAGATAAGAAAAGATTTATTGTGGTGGAAAATATTTCTCAGCAAGTTTAATGGTGTGTCTATAATGTCCATTGAGAATTGGTCCGCTCCTGATCAGATATTTGCTTGTTATGCTTGTCCAGGTCTTGGAGGGTTTTGTAATGGCGAGTACATTCATGGAATATTTCCAACAAGAATTGCTGAGAAGGTTTACATATAAATTGTCTGGAACTGCTGACAATTGTTATTTGTGTTAAGATATGGGGTGTAAAATTCAGAGGTAAAAGGATTCTTGTTTACTGTGATAAAGAGTCGTCAGTCACTGTATTAAACTCTGGTTCCACTAAAGATTCCTTTATGCAGAGTTGTCTGCGCGAAATTTCGTATTTCTCTGCATTATTCGAGCTTGAAGTAAGATTAAAGCATATTGCAGGAGAGGAAAATGGAAATGTGGACGTATATTGCCGTCGCCCCGGTCGGTCGGTTGGTTCGTCCGTCCGTCCGTCCACATTTGTTGTATGCACGATAGAGGCTATAGTTTTTTATCTGATCTTGATGAAACTTAGTATACATGTATATATTGATGAGATCTCGGTCAAGTTCGAAATTGGTAATAATCAGATGAACGGTTTCAGAGTTATTGCCCTTGACATAGTAAAAACGCCTTAAACTTGGCTTGTATGCAATCTTTATCATATCTTGATGAAACTTAGTATGCATGTATATATTGATGAGATCTCGGTCAAGTTCAAAATGGGTAATAATCGGATGAACGGTTTCAGAGTTATTACCCTTGACTTAGTAAAAACGCGTTAAATTTGGCTTGTATGCTTGATAAAGGCTGCAATTTTTATCTGATCTTGATGAAACTTAGTATGCATGTATATATTGATGATATTTCGGTAAAGTTCAAAATTGGTAATAATCGGTCTCAGAGTTATTGCCCTTGACATAGTAAAATTGCCTTAAAATTGCCTGGTATGCCCATTGAACACTACAATTTTGATACCATCTTGATGAAACTTAGTATGCATGAATATATTGATGAGATATCAGTCAAGTTTGAAGTTGGTAATAATTGGATGGACGATTACAGGGTTATTTCCCTTGACTTAGTAAAATTGGCTTTTAGGCAGGCTATAGACTACAGTTTTTATCCGAAATGGATGAAGCTTAGTATGCATGTATATATGGACAAGATCTCAGTCAAGTTGAAATTGGTAACAATCGGTTGTCTAATTTGACTTGTAGGCCTGATAGAGACATTTTTTTATACGATCTTGATGAAACTTGGTATGACATCCCTGTGAAACTTGAAATTAGTAAAAATAGGATGATTGGTTTCACATATTAAACCACTACAGACTTTGTTACTTTGTTATGATTTCTGACAGCAGGTAGTGGGCGTATGTTACCTTGCCTGGCAAGCTATCTTTTGAACAAGCGGGGACGAATACGCTCTCCAAATTTGATGTTATAGTAGTTTATTCGATTTCTCAAATAATTGGTAATTTTTATCTCCGTTCCCGATTTTTTATATGCTTAAAAAGCAAGCAGCGGTATCCGCCCGACATGCTTTTGCAGATGGTTCATTGGCTAATCTCAAGACTCAATGTGGAAGTAATTTCTTATTCTGCGACTAGTTTGATTTAAAGGCACTTCCTAGGTCGGTTAAAACACTGACCTTGTATATGCTCAATTTTTAAGTAGAAGTTTTAAAGCTATTCAGTCTATTAAAAATTATTTAAGTGGGATCAAAACTTTACATTTATATCTTGATTTAGATTATCCAGAATTGAATTTTCATTTAAAACTTGTATTGAAAGGCTAAACCCTTTTTGGTGTCTATTTGTACATGCCCTTTTTATGATGTTACGAAAATCAAATTTGGTGCCTATTTCAATTAAATCCTTTGATTCTAACAAACAATTAAGTAGAAAAGACTTGGTATACGATAAAGACAAGAACCTGTTAGTTATAAATATAGTCTCGTCTAAGACCATCCAATTTGGAGAAAAAAAATTACTGATTCCATTAGTGGCAATTCCAGGTTCTCTTCTATGTCAGGTTCAAGCCTATCTAAATATGCAAAAATTAGTAACTTTAACTAGTCCTGCTTATTCCTTATTTAGGCACTAGCAGTTGGTACCTGTAACGTACACTCAGATGCAAACTGTTCTGAAGCATCTTATACAAAAAACGGGACGAAACCCACAAGAATTTTCGTCTCACAGTTTTAGTAGGGGTGGGGCTACTTGGGCTGTACGGTGATTGTGCAAGTGATGCTTATAAGAGATACCTAAGATTAATTTCGATGACAAAATCGCAGTCGCCACGTCACTGCTATTGTGGGATGCACTATTCAACCATTCCCGGGAGCAACTATTGGTCGCCTGACCGACCTGGTTTCTAGGGGAAGAGTGGCATGGCAAGATGTCGAAGTAGTTTTAGTGCAGGTGGGCACAAATAATATCTCAGCCAACCAATCAGTGAATACAATCTTATCTTATTACGGTGATTTTATTTACCATCTAAAGTTAAAAACTAACGCAAAATTAATTTTTACTTCAATATTACCTTTCAATATCTCTTTTCAGAAACCAGGGTCCCAAAGTCAACGCCAGATTAAAAAAGCTCTGCCTTGAATGCGGTTTGCTTTTTTCCAATACCTACAGAAGCTTTATGTACAAAAGCAGACCCAATCATTATACGCGCCCAGGAATGGGCTCCATCTTAATTTCGCCAGTTGAGCTGTATTACGCAAAAAAATTATTAATGTTATCAAGCACGTTCAATTGTATTGTGTTATCCGATCCCATTGCTGCTCGCTTTATCTTTTTTGTTTTCCAGGGAGCCGTCATCCTGAATTTGATGTCGTTTCCTTTTTCCTAACCATCGTTGACAAGTTCCATGTTCGATGGTTGGCTTCGCTTCTTCCAGGTCTGGTTTTTTGTCAGGAAGGACGAGCGTTTTAGGTAGGATAGCAAAACAGTCAAAACGACCAGCAATTTTGTGTAAACATCAAAGGGAGTTACCGGCAAAGTTGTTTTATAAATTGTAATTTTTTCTTACATATTGTAAATATACGTTAATATTATTTATATAATTTATAAAATTGTCATTTGTTCTGTCGTATTAAATAGTTAAATAACTCATATTTAATCTGCTACAAACAATAAAATCCAAAAAGAAGTTTATCGTGTTTGTTTGTTACCCCCAATCTGATTCCAAGTACATCATCTCAAACTATGCCAAAAAGACCCATGCAAGAATCAAACATGACCTTTACGCAGCTTTATTGAACCTTTTATTATGACAAATAAGAAGGATTATTTTATAGATGCTTTCAAAATAAAGAATATCTGTATCTTTATCTTGATGTTGATGCTTACCTTTAAGAATTCATCTTTAAGAGCTGCACACGTATCTGTAACTATGTTTGATATGGTCCTCTGACCAATTCTAAATGCATATGAAAGACTTCTGAAAGTTTCCCCTGAAACAAAATTATATTGTCGAAGAAAACAAAAAGGGAGATTATTATACATTTGCGCATCAAAGAAACACAGCAATTATTACTATTAACCCAAATGAAATTTTAGTTAGCCCTTTAAATTTTTTCAAATTTATCTGGCAGGGCGGGGAAGAATAGTAATAACTAGTATTCTGGTGGTTATTTTTATTATTTTTGCAGCCGAACGGTGGCCTACATCTGATATCCATTTTTAAAACGTACAAATACTAATAGGATGGCTAGCCCCCTAGCTTTATTTGTGGATTTTAAAAGCTATAAAACCTGTGTCTTAAAATCTCAAAGTCACTGCAAGGCGTTCTGTGTTCTCTTTCTTAATGCTGGGTCCAACCTTGGACAAAATATCATTGAAAGTTGCCGCATCCATTCTTAAATATCTCCTGTACATTTCATCTTCCTCTTCTGATTTGAACTCACAAACAAGATTATTGAATATCCCCTTCTGTTTTCTTCTTTTAATCCATGGTTGCTTTTCTCAACACAAAATTTTCTTTTTAGAATTCTGAGCATTTTAACACCACATTTTGTTGCTAAACTACAATTTTTAGTGATTAAGACAGAGGTCAATGACAGTTTAGTCACTTTGACAATTTGACCTCAATTTTTGGGGGTCAGGATTCAGTCCCAAGGGTCGATATTTATTTGAAATAATTTTCTTTTCTAATTCATTAAATTTTGACATCATCTTTGTACCACATTTTGTTGCTGAAATACAATTGTACAGTCCCGTTCCCTCCTGGTTTTTTAAGCATATACCCATGCCTACCCAAATCAGTTAAAATAAGCTTATTTTAAAATTTTTTTTACAGAATAACCTTAGGTTAGGGTTTATAAAACTTTTAAAATTCATGACGCATTTTGGGAAGTGTTAGAAAACTACAGTGCAAATATTAAGCAAAATATATTCCTAATTGTAGAGAAATATGCCCCCTTCTTAAGGTTTCGCCTAACAATATTGAGTGTGTTTGAGGCCTAACATCAAAACTACTTTAAACTATTAAATTATCAATAAGTACACCCCATTTTCAATGAACAATGAAGTAGATACATAGATGTAAATAGCATAATTCAAAAATATTTTTAGGTATGATTTACACCGTTTCTGAATGAAAATTGTGCATAGGCCTATTGCCCCTTCAAATCAAACAATATGCATAATCAAAATTTGGGAAAATGTTTAAAAAAATACTTTTTAAGTAGACCAGATTTTGGGGAGTTAAAAAGATTATGTAACTGTGAAGCAAATGGTTTTTCGTTAACTAGGTCCTGAACATGGTTGAGTAAAGTTGAATAAATTAAACTAGTGCTGGCTTTACCAAAACCAACTATGTAACAGATAGAAATGTGTCAAATCGTTTCCCTTGATAGAGTTTACGTAATACATACTATTGTCGCTTTTGTCGCCTTTGCTCGCCGTTTAATGAAAGAAATTAAAAAATCCACAATAAATAAAACGGTTTGAAAGGTGATAGTTGATCTCCTTCGCTTTTCAATTAGGACACGAATAACATAAGATTTCATAAATTGCGCCCCAATTTGGACAACACAAACCAGAGCACTAGTTACATAGGACCTTTGGGGTAGAGCTCATTAAGAAAGATTAATAACCTGCTAAGAGCAAATTGTCTTTCTTTCTTAACATATTATAACAATAGATGAGGTCCACAGTTATAAAGAAGTCGACCCTGTATTACTCACTATACTGGCTCTTTCACAAATTACAAAAACTCTGTAAAACAGTGCAAGTACCATAGGTGTCAAAAGAAATCCTTTATTGTAATTTTAAGATATGTTTCAAATTTGGGTCATTCAGGTCATCCAAATCTAAAATTTAAATTTATTTCCAGTTACTGACATATTCTTAAAAGGTTCCATGTGCCTTAACCTTTATAAGTAAAGACAGTATCGGTTACATTGATAATACATTTAGGATTAATATAATTTATAGAAATGGCTAAAGTCAACTTCTATAAGATTCTGTAATTCTGAATTAAAGAGATTTTATCTTATAGACATTAAATATCGTACTCAGTGTAAGGCAGCTACTATGGTTCAATACCGATGGTGCTTTTAATATTTTATTTCGCAATTTAGAACTGTATAGGGGGCCAAATTGTGACAATTGGGCAGAAAATACATCCTACAAATTGTTTTTTAATTATCTCTACATTTACTACTTGTTCAAGAGAGTTGAAAATTTCCATGAATCGAGTAAAATGCAATTGCCCGACAAATAGTATAATAATATTTGTTTATATAAATTCTGACTACAAGCTATAATCACAAAAACATTGTTATTGGTCCATTTAGGACGAGAAAAATTCAATTTTCACTTGTCGCTTGACCACCTGTCGAATATTCTGTTCTTCGTCTCTGCCACCTTATTAGTTAATCTCAGTGCTGCAATTGTGTCTCTTTTTATTTAGATACTCCTCATTTTCGACCAATTCTTTTCGATCAAGAGGCAAGAAGCCTGAAAAACAGTGAAAAAAAGCGTTTCGTAGCAGTTTTAGTTGTGTCACAACACAGCACAAATGCAATTCTCTATACCCTAGCCGTTGCTTTCCACAAATACTGGCCAGCTTCGATGACGGTTTCTCCCCCCCCCCCCCCCC